ATGCAGTGCTAGGAAAACAAGGAGAGATGAATGCAATATTGATTGAAAGGTAGACCGGAGTGCAGCTCAGATTTGAGAGATCACGCATAGAACTGAATTGGGGAGTAACCATGAAAAGTCAATTAGTCAAGTTCTCCTGGTCTTGAATGTGACCTTTTCCAAAACCTGTGGGTCTAACTGCCTGGCATCTACACTTTATATGGCTCTGGCTTTAATTAGCCTCATTTTAAGCCAATTGTCTGGCCTGGAGCAATTTTGCTGGCATATTATGGGGAGGTGAGTCTCTTGAAATCCACTTTGGAATTTTGCCCCTTAACTTCATTAAGTCTGTTTCCTAGGCCAGCCCTCCTTATCGGGCACTGTTCAAAATGGAGTTCCTTGTCCAGTCTATGTCTGCCGATGATGGCATCCACAAATTCCTAATGCATCTCGCTGTGAATCGCGCCTCTGTTCCACCCTTGCCTGTTGGTGGTGTGCACATATGTGAACCATTGCAGAGAACAGAGAGGCAATTCAGATGCTGGGAACATTTTTAGAATAATGATACTCAGTGGAATTTCACATAGACTTGCATTTTAATTTATGACTATAGGCCACTTTTGTCAAATAAAGCATGCATTTACAATACTCAAACATTTAAAGTTTTTGGAAAATGTTTAACTCTTTTGGGCTTGGGTTTATGCTTCTCTTTAATGTTTACATAATTTAAGTGTGGACAATGGAAAAGCTAGAATGGAAAGAGAAACAATCCAAATGTACACAAAACAGTGCTGATAGAAGATGGACAGTATTAGAGATTAAGTATATGTGGATCAAGGTAATTCATTTTTTCGGCTATGATTTATTCATCCATTCAGTTTTTCATTCATTCATCCATATTCATGATCTCTGTCTCATATACAAAACAAATATAGTATCAAAAATGTTTATATTATAAAGAAGTTGTTCAACTTTTCTGGTCCTTGATTTCTCAACTATAAAATAAGGGAGTTGTTTAAAATGCCACAATATTCTGGAAATGTTTAGGTAACATAATTATAGTAATAATGGTAACTAGACCTCTAACAACAACAATAATCTATCAAGTCTTCTCTGTCCACAGACTTATTCCAATCACTTGATGGTTAAAAGGTCCTTTGTGGGCCCCCAAATTCAGGTTAGATCTCCTCTGTGCAAGGATTGGCCTAAGTCCAACCACCCCAAGGCTTTGGGGAAGGTCATGGCCTTCCCTGGCACACTCAGAGGGACTGAAAGAGCTAACAGGTTGTACCTGCCCTTAGGGAGCTCAGCAGAGCCACACCTTGCATTCCTCTTCTATGAAGCCAGACACAAACTCTTACACTCAGGGATATCAGATCGGCCCTCAGGCCACATGCTCCTCATGAGCTTTTTGGGGTGAAAACACAGGAGCTAAGAGTTATCTGCAGCCTCTCAAAGAAAAATGAGATGAATGACATGACAGCCCTCAAATCACAAGAGGTCCCCCTAGTATCTAGGGCTCCATTGAAGAAATGCAGGCAGTGATGGATAGGGTCTTTGAGCCTGTCTTCCTCAACATGGAGCCAGGAATTTGGGTCCAGGAGTCCGGATACTGGGTGAGCATTTCCCACTTGGCAAGAGACCAGATTATCAGTCCCTCTTCCCAGCATGTTCCAAAAGTGAATTTTAAAATGATATCTACTATCTCCTTGAAAGTTATAGTTTTTACAAGAATTTTGGAAATACATCAGGTCTTGTCAAAATCTGAATTAAATTCAAGATACTTGTGTCTAGAAGAACTATAACCACTAATGCTGAATGGAATGTTTCTACTTGGGAAAAAGCCACAGAGCACATGGGTGCTGGATGGCAGAGATTGCTTTTTATACATTCTAAAACATAGAAGCTTTGAGTTTAATGTGTGTGTCATATGCTAAACACATGTGACCCTAACTAAATATCACAAAAACCTACCATAAATTAATTGTCAACCTTAATGGTTTCCTCATTTCAAAACACATTTGTTTGGCAAGTTAATGCCTTTAGGCCAAGATTTTAAAGTGACTACACAGAGTTTAAATGAAAAACATATCAGGATATATATGTCTATACTAACACACACACTCCCACATACAGTTTCTCTATCATCATAATTCAAAATGGAAGAAGAATTTTCCACACATTTGGGTCCTGTTCTTTTGCTGCCATTGACAATTTTTGGTATTCTGAGAGCCTCACGTCCACTTTACCAAACCGGAAGGACAACATTAACCTGAATTAGACTTTAAAAAATACCTCTTTTTTTTGTAACCAGTGTCTGTCCACGTGTGGGTGTGTGAGTATATGTGTGTATTTCCAAAAGTTTTCTTTCAGGAATAAGATTCACATAGTGAGTTTGAGGCATTTATAAAAAAAGGAGAGATGATTTTAAAGGCTATTTAAAAGGTGTTATTTGCTTTTAGAATTTCCTTTATATTCAAGTTTATGATCCAAGTTCCTTTGATTCTAAGGCCAGCTCACTGCCCTAACATCTCCTTCTGGGGCTAGAGAAATCCTGGATAACACACTTTCCACAGAGAGAGACAAGAGGCAATGGAGGGAAGGAAAAGGCGGCTGAGAGGAAGGGGCCGACATAGGCACGCCTGGCTAAGGCTCTGCTGCCTGCACTACCAGCCCAGCTACAAGCCGGCGGCTTCACTCAGCCTCCTACGTGGGCTAACAAAGAACACCTGAGTTTCACTTCGGACACATCCTCTGGCAACAGGCTGGCCATTAAAAAAAGAAATTAGGCAGAATGAAATTTTTCAAGGAATATCTTTTTTCTTGCTCTTCTCCCCTAAATGTAAAAGCGGGAGACTTTGGGAGGGAAATGACATGTGAAATCATTTAGTAAATGTTTTAGTCTATATCATAAATAATCTGACAGAGTGGAATTATTCACAAGAATCAGATTTTTTAAATGTTCTTTTTCTGTGCCTAAGTGCCTGTCTTTATTATTATTGCCAAATGCAAAGCAGTAACATAATGGTATAACTTAATATAATACGATGTATACTTACATTAAAAATTCATAATAATCTACTCTGTGGAAATGTAAATCATCATCTGTTTCCACTGGAATACAAACACATTCCAGTATATATTTAACATATTTTATTTCATGTCTTATTTTAAATAGGAATAAGCTATTTCCTTTAGGAAATATTTAGTATAACAAAAATTTTTACCAATGTTTCACCCAGAGCAGAAAATAATGATGTTTATCTATTAAATTTCTTTCTATTTTTAAAATTTTGACATTTTGACAGATACTATGCAAAGAAAAAAATAATACCTCAATGCCCAAATTCAGTATGATTTATTGCTGCTGTTGAGGCTGATTTAAGGATCTGACTTAGTCCTGAGTCAGACCCAGCCAGAACCCTGATCAAAGCCCCTCGGGTTTGTCTCCTCTGCACAGTGTACACACCACTTTCAGATACACCCTCGCACTGGACTCTCATAATTACCCCAAGAAACAGAGACAGGGCCAGTATCAAGATCTCCCTTCAAGATGATGCTTAGCACCATGGGTCTATAATATTTCATTCTATCTGGGAGAATGCAAAAGGGCGCTTGCCCATTGTACAGGAGCAGTATCAAGGTGTTGTCACTCCTAAGTGCTGTGGCAGGGACAAAAAAACAAGATGAGAGGCTGGCATTGACCACATACAACATCTTTTCTCTCTAATGACTTGGAAACATTAGAAAAATTAAGTGGGCAGATATATTTCCAGGAAAAATTCTCTTTCAGGCAATATTGTTTATTCATTTTCCATTCATTCAACGGGTTCTACAGCTCCTATCAGTGACATGAAGTTAGGAAGGAAAAAACAAACATATTTCACTCTCGTGGACTATGCAGAACGATAAAGAGCAAGATAATCACAGAAAGCGAGGCACACTATATAGGAAATATACAGGGAAGGAGGGGATAGGATTTTTTTGTTGTTGTTGTATGGGTGGTCAGGAGGTGAGATTTGAGGTGAGGCTTTAAGAATCAGCCATCTGGCAGAGCCCAGGCCCTGAAGCAGGAATGAGCAGAAGCAGGGCAGGCCAGTCTGGCTGGACGTGGGCAGCCAGGGAGAAAAGACAGAAGCTGCAGTCGGGGTGCAAAGGGCCTTGGAGGCCATGGAAAGTGGTCAGACTTTGTTCCAAGTACAAAGAGAAGTCACCAGAGTGTCTCTCAGAAGGAATGGGATATGATCTGATTTATGGTTTTTAAAGACCTCTCTGCCTGCTAAGTTATAAGAAAGCAGAGGTGAAAGAGGGAAACCAGTGAAGAGGCTACTTTTATAGCCCAGGCAAGAGATGATAATGATCTGCATGGTGGAAGCAGAAGGAGAAAAGGAGCCAGAGTCGAGATATATTTTGAAGACAGCGCTGGTGGGACTTACCAAAGGGCTAGACGTGGAGGAAGGAGAGGGAAAGGAAGGGACCAAGGATCTCTTAGGTCTTCCGGCTTGAGCATGCCAGATGGCATGTGCCATTTGCAGACCCATGGAAAATCAACGGTTCGATTTTGGATATGAGATTAGAGATGTTTGCGAGAAGCCCAAGAGGGGACATATGGTAAGAAACTAGGATACGTGAGACCAGAGCATGGGGGAGGAAAGATGGAACTTTGGAAGCCATCGGCATATGAATAGTGGTTCGAGCCATGGAACCAGTGAGAGTACCCAAGGAAAGACCGTGGCTGGGGAGAGAGGAGGGCTCCAAACCGAACTCTGATTCTGCTATAGGAAGAGGAAGTGGCAAAGGAATGTGAGAGTTGCTGCCAAAAAGGAGGAGAAAAGTTACAAAGTTAATCTACATGTTCAGGTTAGTTCCCCTGGCAGTCCATCGATGAGGGCAAATAACTTCATTAGTTGTTTCAGATACCTCTACTCTTCTGTATGATAAAAAAATTCCACCTTTACCAAAGTCACTTACCTGTTGGTTCATTTTTAGAAGCTAGTATGTTGCCTACTTTACAACCTTACCTTGGCTCCAGTGTCTCCCACTCCACGTAAACCCATTGGTCCCGGGGGTCCTGGTAATCCTCGAGGCCCCTGAGACAACACAATAAGGGAGGGATGAACATCCCTGTAGTAAGCAGTGTTCGGGAGGAGGGAGGGAGGGAGGAAAGAAGGAAAAGTAATGTCCACACTTACAGCCACACCGGGATAGCCGTCGCCTTTGAGTCCTGGAGCGCCCACTGGTCCCCGAGGGCCTTGGGCACCCTGGATAAATGCCAACACCAGGTAATATCATGAGACTAAGCTATAAAACACCAGGTTAAACTTAAGCGTAACACCAACTCAATACGCCAAAGGTGGATTTCATAAGTGCAGAGGAATAATTCGAAAAATTTTAGGAGCAATTCCTACCACACGTGCAACTCATTATCTCTTCATAAGTCTTACCCACTTGAGTTCAGCGGGAGGCATGGAATGAATGCAAAGAATATACACAAACCATTACAAAGTCCTCTGCAGGAAAAATATACTTCACAGGAATTCAAAAATGGCTTATCGCTAAAATTTTAATTTTAAAAATTATAAGTTTTTAATGCATCATACATCAGGGAAAAGTATAAAAATGAGAAAATTTAGTATGCACAGTGTGAGAAGAATAGAAGAAGAATACATAGCAAAATTCCGAATGTGAAATAAGGTAACTGTATGCTGCCTATTGTTGCATTGAGCCTATTGTCAACGGGGCTAAAAATACTTGAGGAATAAATAAACCTAAATGAAAATAAAAACAATAATTTTTTAAAACATGTTATAAGGGATGGGACATTGAGAGTTTGTGTTTTATATCTTGGGACCTAGGAAAAAATTACAGACATTGCTTTATAGTGATAACCTTAGGCACAAAAAGTTTTAGTAGCAACCATTAGCCTCCTATACAGAGAGCAAGGAGGGGTGATTATTGTTCTTTGGACAACAGAGTTTTCCAAGATGTGTAACTCTCTTACAAATGGAAATGGAAATCAGAAAAATGTATGACTAAAGGAAAATGGAAAGAAAGGAAGAAAACAAATTAAGAAGAATCTTTTAGAAGAAGGCTTAGTAACTGTAAGTCTATTACACTTATATATAAAACTTATATTTATTTTGATACCATATTCCATTCTGTGTTACTGTGTTTACTCTTACAACAGCCCTTGTCAACATGCACCCCTTGTTTTGCTAAAGAGCTGTTAGTGTCCAAATATATTTATGTTTTTTTACATTAGGAGAAAACTCCTAATGTGAAATGACAGGCAGATATTTGTATCCAAGAATGAAGAAAGTAGCAGGACTCTTAAGTACTTTCCTTACATGCAAGCAAATTCAGAGATCAATAATTGCCATTATTCTAAGCCAAAATGTTGCCCTAAATCCAAATCCCCAAAACTCTTCTTAATTCTCCTACGAATGAATGATTGATTAGGAAAGGGGGAAAAGTTGCATACCCTTTAAAAAAGTTAAATTTATTTTGAAAACCATGAATGCAACCACTGTTTTTTCCTGTTAAATCTGAGACTGGTTTTATCTGGTTAGCCTTCTTAAGAATGATCATCTTTAGAAAATATGTGGTCACTTATAATACCCTACTGAACTATTTATCATCAACAAAAACCCAAGATGATTTCTTAAGGTTATATGAGAGATTCCTTTATGACTAGAGAAGGAAAAAAAGAAAAAGAAAAAAAGTTACATGAGAGAGAACAAGAGTAAGTTCTTCCAGAGAAGTGAATTTTGGTATATCCCCAACTACAGGTAACAACTGGTCAGTTCTCTGAAGCAATTTTTCTGCTATTTCGACTATATTTAAGGTTAAAGCTCTAAACATTCACGTATGAGACTTATCTCAAAATCAGATTCCCATTTCTTTCCATGTTTACATAAGGGGAGGGTCAACACAGAATAAAGCAGTAACTCTCCCTAGTTAAGTTGAAAGGAAAAGAAAATTGGAATCACAATTCACTTTTCAGTTTTTATTTCTAAGTTCCAAGCCCATAACAAATTACCAGCAGCTGCTATTGCTTAAACTCTGGCGACCACAGTGGAGAGGGGAAAGAAACCATTAAAACGCTGACAGTTGACAAACATTTTTTTCCTAGAGATTTTTGTCCTTGTTCCTGCAAGCATTTCAGGTAGCTTGTTACTTCTCATGTTAATCGGAAGGGGCCTGTAGGGGCAGATTTTTATTTTGGACTAGTCACAATATTTTTATAGATGGATTTCTGCCACTGGACTTTTCTGCACTGTATTCAAGAAAATGTTTTATAAAGTAATTCACTTTGATGTGTTTTTCTCATTCAGTACAAATTAGGCCAAAAATTAAAATCTGATATTTTGAAATCAGCTTTACGAGAGACCCGAGAGATCTCTGAAGTAGTGCACAAAATAGAATTAATGTGCCAAAACTTTCATCAGATGTTCAAAGGCATATATGACCCTCCCATAACTTAAAACCTAAAGAATTAGGAAGAGAGGCAGAAAGAGTATCATTAGAGCCCAGAGGTGGTGGGAGGCAAATATCTTTAAACACCCTCACTGACAATGCCCAATAACCATTGGCAGAAAACAGGTGGGGCTTATAAACTCTGGCAGCACATTTAATTAGATTTTATTCCTATTTCAAAGAGAAGTAGATAAATGTATAGATAGATACAAATCATAGGTTGTGCATACACAGATATCAAACAATATCAAAATTGTCACACTAATGTAATTGATCAAGGTCATATCTATAGTTATCACATTAGAAAATTTGGAATTGTCTCATTGAGTTGTCTGTATAGCTTCGGGTATTATAGAGAAGGGTCTCCATAGCTTGGGTTCCATTTACCTCAGGGTCTGGGGAGCAGGTGAACAGCCCACCCCAGTTTGCTCAAGGTTTTCTCAGTTTCAGCCCTGAAAAAGCCATGCAACCTAGGAACCCCCGCAGTCCTGGGCAAACTAGGGCAGTTTTCACGGTAGCGGGGAGGAAGACTGTTAAAGCAGTAAGAACAATGGGGGTCTGACTTCCTCCCTTTGCCTTCAAACAAGAACCACTCCAGTTTATGTTAGTTTTATACAGTAGGTTTTGCATTATATTCCCTTTAAAAGATGACTCCACATTTTCTTTTTTTTAACTTTGGAAGTCATTGGTTTAGTACTTGAACCCTAGTTGAGACAATCTGATAAGAGGGCACACACATCAGCTTCAAAACCATGGAACAACATGCCATTAACTTAAAAAGTGCTGATTATGGGGCCCTGAACACTGTTTTCATAAACAGAGATGTGCGTGTTGACACCTAGGAATGTTATAAACACTAAGTTTTGCTGTGATGATGCAGGCAGTAAAAAAGAGAGAAATGGCGCTTCATGCCTGTGGAAAACTAGATATGATTACTTAAAGCTGATTTCTTCTATAATTATTTATATTTTCATGTGAAATAACTCCAAAGGATGGCTAATCAAAGCAGGGGAAATTTTTATTCACTAAAGCTTCCAAACACACACTTTTTTGCACAGTGTTTTGCAGAACAGATACTTCAGTAGTTGATATATAAATGAAAGGGGCCAGAAGCCATGTAATCCCTTGTATCCCAGACATTGCAAAGAGTACATTTTCAAACAATTGTCTAGTCAGCAAAAATTTACCGGTAGAAGCTACCGTTCCCCACATGTATAAAAAATAAACTGATTGCTTGATCAGAAAAAAGGGGGAATAGTCTTACATTTTAGTGTATTAACATAGGGATGTCCTGAGTAGAACAATTTATTGTGTATTAAATCTACCTTCACGTCTCTCATATACAGAAAAAGAACATGCATAAAGCATACCTTTGGTCCTCGAATAGAAAGTCCAGGTTCTCCCTTAAATCCAGGCATCCCAGGTCCTCCTCTATCTCCCTGTACATTTCAAACAACATCCAGAGGCTATAGGTTGCATAAGAAACCACAAGGGTACATAGCAAAAAAGAGATAGGCCAATCTGTAAAGAGTAAAATCTATCCATCTCAGACTTGAGATCATACATTCTTCTAACATATTCGAGGGGACAAATCCTAATAAAACCTGTCAGTAAAAACTACTATAACTGCCGGGAGAAAGCCCATTGAAATAATAGGTTGCAATTTAGACTCAAATACTTGGACTGTAAGAATGTCTGGGAATGTTCTTAAAACTGCATGAATTTCTTTTCCTCCAGACTTTTCAGTGATAAATCCTAGTAGATTCTTAGGGATAACTGTAATAAATTCTTACCATCATCAGGGTCATGGATTTGGAAGTGGTAATGAAGGTTAAAATGATGAGCTTGGAGCAGGAGCACAAAACCCAGTTTCTAGTCCTAACTCTACTGCTGGCTTTACATTTGCTTGTCGGTGAAATACCAGGGCTGAACTAGATCATTTCTTAGGGATCTTCCAAAACTAAAATTCTAATCCACTGATATCATGATTTTTTTTTTTCTACTACCGCCAAAAAGCCAAGAAAAAGATATTTCCAAGAGTATATACCTTTGGCCCAGATGGTCCAGGAATCGATGCTCCAGGCATTCCAAACGGGCCCATAATGCCTGGCTCACCCTTAAAAAGAACAAAATGCTTATTACATTTCAAGCAGAGAAATCATGCACGGAGATTATTTCAGGAAAAGCATGAAAATGTCTGTGGATATTAAAATGATATTATGACCTCTGTTTCAAAGACCAAAGTGAAGATAATTTGAGCAAGTTTTGTAAATTACTGCAAAGGTTTTCAACCAGTAAGATTTTAATGCCTTTAAATAAATGTATTCAATTAATTCCTGAAAGTTAGGCAAATTGTACCTCTTGTACATTCTTTTATAAATTGCATAAAAATCATGCAATTCATGGTGCTTCCCTTTTGTGTTGTGTGTTAGGAAGCTCAGAAAGAAATTTTTTGTTCAATTATAACAATTATCTTTAACATAAGTTTTAGGGAACACTTCTACTTTATAATTCTTTTTCCTTTACTATTTTAATGGTCCATGGTATATCAATATTCCATATATGATACCTCACATCCTTTTTTAAGTAGAGACTGTATGATTTTTTAAATGAAATTTTGAATAGAAAAACTAAAATATTTCTTTTTTTGTTGTCTAATATTGTCTCAAAGACTCAATCTGGAGCAACTGGATCTAGACCATGATTCGCAAATTTTAGAGGAATTATCCAGAGTTTGGTAAATGCAGTCCTGGGTTTCAAACTCCAGAGATTCTGATTCAATAGATCTAGAGGCTGGGGCCCAGGAATATAAATTTTTATAAAGCACTCCTGGTGATTCTGATATGGGTTTCAGATACGGGTTTTCATTTTGAAAAAACACTATTCCAAATCAATTGTCACTGCACACCACTGGGATAGAAGAAGAAAATATTAGAACTTCTCTCTGTATTTTTATCTCACTTATACATTTTTCAATTATTTATATAATTTCACAACCTAATAGTATTCATCGTTTATGAATAAAAATTACAATAAAAAAACCTATATCAGAATATGGTCAAAATTTTATTGGGATAGGTTTACAATCAAAACAGTTGGAAACTCCTGCTCCAGAGTAGGTGTCAGCAAACTGCAGCCCATGGGCCAAATATAGCCTGTCCCTCGTTTTGTATAGCCTTGGCTAGAGTGGTCTCCACATTTTGAAATGGTCTTTATACAAGTACCTGCCTAATATCTTCAATTTTGCCTCTTGGCTTTCAAAGCCTAAGATATTTACTCTCTGGCCCTTTACCAAAAAAAAAAAAAAAAAAAAAAATTGTAGAAGTGTCTTATAGAACAAACTATTTCTATGCTATGTTTCAACCTGACCCTCTAGGATCTCAGATTGCTGCCTAATCCTGCCTCTGCCTGTTTCATGCTTTTTGAAAACTCAACAGCATAGCTGCCTATTTGGTTATTTGGCTTCCTCCGGGAGGGACTCTGTCAATCAGATGCACCAACAATGACAACTGCCCAGAGCCACATTCATCTTCCCAGCTGAGGCCTCCCACTGTGCCAATTAGCCAATATGACCAACAAGCTGTACACATGGGCCTACTTGGCCCAGTTCAGGCCACAGCTTGAATGTGCCAGTCCTTAAATCCAAATCTGAAAGGCTATGACACATGACACAGATAAACACCCTATCCAATATTCTGACAAGGGAACAAAACATTAACCTGTTAAAATTCCCCACTAAAACCAGACGTAAGGCAAAATTATGCCTCTAGATTTAATCTGTTCTTTTTTGTTAAAGAGGCTGATTACTTTTAAAACATGAAAAGAATCATAGAAAGTATACAGTCCTCTTAAAGACCTTGTATTAAGGGGTGATTATGCTTGAAAATATGGCAATTCTTATCTTTTAACAGCTTTATTTTAAAACAAAAATATTCACTTCGAATAAGAGTAACTAAGACATAAAGCATAATCACTGTTACTAATACAATGCATTTCTTATATAGAGATGTTCTTTCTGTTGTTCTTTCTATTGAATCCAAATATCTGGGCTTGGTACCAAGAAATCTGGATTTATACTAAGCTCCCCAGGTGATAGTGATGGGCACTGAATTTAAGAATCACTGGTCTACAGGTGATGCTTTGTTTTGTACCTGTTCTTATCTTGCTGGTACCATTTTTAAAACATACGCTCTGGTCCTTAAATATATTCCTTGTCTCTTTCTTACAATTAGCACCTTCCTAGAGACATGAACTCTCTTAGGTGTGCAGTTTCTGTTTCCTGATACATTCAAATAATCTCATTGTTCTCTGCTGCTAAATCAGGACACACTTAATTGCTGGCCTCACAATCTCCTTCACCTGTTGCTCAGCACCCTCCTCAGTCTGGGGCTCTTTTACTGTTCATCAAAACAAGGTGATGGAGAATTGTATCTCCTATGGTCCTCACTTTATCCCAACTTCTGAATATTTAGTTATCATTAGAGAGGACTGACATACAATTTCTCTCTTAGAAGTGTATGTATCCCTATGAATATTACATATTTTATGCAATCTCTTTATTTCTTCCAATATGGTCTTGGTGATATGTTTCCTAAAGGTTTTTTTTTTTTATTTGGAGGTTTTTGGGGTTTTTTTTGTATATGTTGGGAAGGAAACCATGAATCAAATGTTCAGTGGAAATCTAATATTCTATTAAAACGAGACATAATTACCAATCTGCTCAAAGCATCAATGAGAACATAAGAAACATACCTTTGGTCCTTCAGGCCCTGGAAATCCCCTCTGCCCTTGATTTCCTTTGCTTCCTTTCTTTCCTTCATCGCCCTGAGAAAATAATTATAGAGACCTTGTACTAACAAACCCTCTCTAACCTAATAATGACCATATCAGAGTCACAGTCTCAACTAATACCAATTTTAAAGTGATGTGCCCAGAACACCACTGAGTTATGCAGGCTTTGTTAATGTTCTTAAGCAGATTGGATAACTTCAGAATGGTTCAGCCTTCACCGTGTTTTAAATATGATTTAATATTTTTTTTAATTTTAGTTCTGAGGCCGGGCGAGGTGGCTCACGCTAGTAATCCTAGCACTCTGGGAGGCCAAGGCGGGCAGATGGCTCGAGCTCAGGAGTTCGAAACCAGCCTGAGCAAGAGCGAGACCTCATCTCTACCATAAATAGAAAGAAATTAATTCGCCAACTAATATATATAGAAAAAATTAGCCGGGCACGGTGACACATGCCTGTAGTCCCAGCTACTCGGGAGGCTGAGGCAACAGGATTGCTTGAGCCCAGGAGTTTGAGGTTGCTGTGAGCTAGGCTGACGCCGCCATGGCACTCACTCTAGCCTGGGCAACAAAGTGATACTCTGTCTCAAAAAATTAAATAAATAAAATAAAATAAAATTTTAGTTCTGTATCTTTCTTTGGGAACTTTCATTTGAATTTGCAGTTCTTTTGCACCCTTAGTCTATTAACAGATGGTTCTGAAGCATTCACAGTTTCAGAAAAGAGCTATACATGCTTTTTCATACTGTTTTTCAATTTTCCTGCTATTTCAGTTATAAAACATAAAATGAGACAATTTTTTAAATCACAGAAAGAATAACAGTAAGAAAATCCTGTTTCTTCCTCAGTGGGCTGTCTAGTGCTTTCCCCCAAAGGAGGCCAATAATTTTATTAGTAGGAAGATGCTTGAGCATTAACCCAGTATGGAGCTAGAAACTGACTATGACTACTGGCTGTTTCCTTGCATGGTTGTACAAGGTAGTGCTCCCCCAAAAGAATCCTTTGACTTTCCACCTCACACCATTACAAAAGTATGTTTGGTTTTGAGATAGAGTCTCAGTTCTCTCACCTGAGCAAGAGCACTGTGGCGTCAGCCTAGCTCACAGCACTCTCAAACCTCAAAGTCCTGGGCTTGAGCGATTCTCCTGCCTCAGTCTCCCAAGTAGCTGGCACTACAGTCGCACGCCATCACGCCTGGCTAATTTTTCTATTTTTAGGAGAGACGGGGCAGGGGGTCTTGCTCTTGCTCAGGCTGGCCTCAAATTCCTGACCTCAAGTGATCCTCTCACTTTGGTATCCCAGAGTGCCAGGATTATAGGCATGAGCCACCGCGCCCCGCCAAAAGTATCTTTCAACTAGGGCTCAACAGCAAGGCACTATATCCAGGTGTGTGCCCAGCTCAACAAAGGAATAACTCCTTGTTGTTTGCAGCTGAGGCCATTTGAACATTTACAATATAAATGACTACTCCATGGTTTGCAAACTTAATTATCAGAATCACCTGCAGGGCTTGTTACAACACCTATTACTGGGCCCTGCATTCAGAGTTCCTGATTTAGTAAGTCCTCACCGAGGCCCAGGAATTTGCAAGTCTCATATTCCCAGGGGACGCTTATGCTGCTGGTCCAGGGACCACATTTTGAGAACCACTGGGTTATACTAATCAGCAAAGCACATATTTCACTTAGAAGAAGAGGTGACCTCCTGTAGAATCCACAGAGGTGTAATAAACTCCCCATGGTCCATACTAATGGAGAGCAGTAACAAAGTATTTTTAAAAATTTGAATGTCCAAATATCATTTATTATATCATTATCATTTGCCAATGGAGACAAAACCCAACCATGACTATTTATTTTCTTTCATTCACTACCACTATTATAACTTACTGACCTAAATTACCCCAGAAGACAACAGCAGGAACCCAATTCTATGTAATAAAGTGCCAACACTGAACTGTGGCACATCTAGGTTATGTAACATGTTCCTACCACTCTTCTCCAATAGCCTTCCATAAGCCACAAATCACCTCAAAGCCACAAATCTAGTGGCCTCTCTTTCCAATATATATTCTGCTTGTCCTATTGGTGGCATTTAATAACACCCATTATTTTCATCTCAAAACCCTTTCTCCTTGGTTTCTCCAACATGGTACTATTCTGCTTATGCAGTTCTGAATGTTCTTTCTCCAGCTACCAACATGATAGCGCCCAGCTGGGTGTAAGGCTCAGCAATCTGTGTTCTAACAAGCCCTCGAGGTGATTATTCTGATGCTCAAGTTTGAAAATCCTGGTGTAGTCATTTTTATGTTTAAATGACCTCAGCTGCAAACCATGAGGAGTTATTCCTTTGTTGAGCTGGGCACGCTCAACATGGGGCTTAAATTTCAGCTCTCTTTTTCTGGGATATCATTCATTCTCACAGCCTCAATGATTAACTCCAACTGTCTATTTTCCAAAAGTGTATTCTAGAAAACAGTAGTTCTCTGAATGCTAATAGGCCAATATTTCTAAAACTGTATTTTTCATGATGTTAAAAAGGTGTTCCCTGTCCCCCTACTTCCCCAAAAGAGGATCCCATAGTCTGGTAAGTCAGTAAATTAAAATGTTTTCAAGCCTAAAAATATATTTAAATTTCAGATTTGCACATTTAAAATGAAGCATTCAATTTTAGCTAATATGGTCCCATGACACAGATTTCTTAAGTTATCAATTACTACTCTAGTAAAATTATAAATAGAACATTAATAAGTATACAGATTTATATTTACCTGACTCATATATAACCCATAAGAATCTTTATGTAGGCACTGATGACTGTACATAAAAATTGCAGGGACATCTGGACCCTTAGAGGCTGTAGGTTATATCACTAGTGATCTCATCCAGTTGGTGAATTTGTATTATATATTCTCATCTTGACATATAAAGATGTTATTCAACTAACATTTCTACAGAGTATAAAATAAATGTATGCCAAGTTGTGAAGTGAAATTTTCATTTGATAAAATGGCATTTCTTATTATTTTGTGAGATTCTACAAATACTTAAAGAAAATTTATGGATTATCAAATCTCAAAGATATGTCTCAAGGCCTCACTTCCTTCCTATGTGTTTTTTAAATGTCAATCTGACCATTTATTGAGAAAACACACATTGAATTCTTCTATATACTGGGTCCTATAATAGATGTTAGGAAAATAAAAATTAACAACATATACTTGCTGCCTTCCAAAAGCTCACAAGATAGTATTCATAATTTTAAGCCAGACATTATTACATTTGACATAGCAAGAATAACAATCAAATCTCTCTCCTAAGTTGGCTTCTTAGTATCAAGACCAGAACACACACAGACTGTTTCCCCCAACACTCTGTCATTTCCATACCTTGGAGCCAGGCTGTCCTTTTCCAGGCGGTCCTTCTGGCCCTCTTGTTCCTGGAAGCCCCGCTTCTCCCTAGAGGAAATAACACTGACATCTCGGCTGACTCTCCATAGACAAGTGTGGATAATCCCCCCTTGTCTTCTCTTATTGCCAGTGGGTTCAGCTGAGATGCTCCAAAACAGACCATCACTCTAGTCTCAAAATTAATTTGGACGTTTACCAACTTGAGTGAAGTAACATCAAATTCAGGTTTAACCCAGCAGCTGGAATATCATGAAAAAGCCCAATTTCTCAGCCAATTTCCAAAGCAAATAAGCTCACTTTCCTTTGGCTCTTCATTTGCATTCGGCAGATTTTTTTTTAAAACAAGGAAGACCTTCAGGCTTTACATCTGCTGTTTTTTCACAACTTTTATTGAAAAATGACTATTTCAAATGTCAACTCAAAATACTTCAGAAAATCCTGACAATGACCTTACTTCCTGAATGCATTTACACAGTCTCTTTTTGGAGAGAGAAGAAAAGTGTGTATCTCTTACATTTAAATTAATGTGCTTTCTAGAAATCCTGAAGGAATTAGGTTACTGGAGAACACCACAGTCAAAACACCAGAGGGGCAGAGGACGTGAGACACTATCTCAGTCTCTGAATGGGCACTCTTTCTATGGGGGGTAAGCGAAAAAAGGAATTTAGGATCGTGGGATTTTTTTACAGAGACTAAATTTGTCCTGGATAGTTTAATCTGAGCTCCTGCAGGACCAAGATATAAATTTTATACAATAGTTTTTGCTCCAGTGATATGAAAAACCTGGTGTTACCTTCCTCCCTGCGGCTCCATCTTCTCCTGGTACTCCTGGTTGTCCTGGGAGCCCTATTGAGCCTGGCTCCCCCTGGTGGATGAACAAAGATTTTATTTCCCAGAAGTTGATAGACTATATCATGTGCTCCATTTTGAGGTACTTGCAATTAATATATTTTATACTGTCTTTGAAAAGCTTCAAAGGATTTTTGTCACATGGCTCAACATCAGCAATTTAGAGAAAATCTCAAAAGCAGCCAGAGGAAATAAAAAGACATGTTGTGTAGAGAAACAAGTATAAGAATAACAACAGATTTCTCAACAGAAACAATGCAAGTGAGAAGACACTAGAGAAACATCTTAAAAATATTAAAAGGAAAGAAAAAACAACTGTAACCTATAATTCCATACCCAGAAAAAAATACAGTCAAAATAAAAATACTCCTTTGGAAACTCATTTGGCCAGTTTCTTGAAAACCTAAATGGGTACCTACCATATGACCAGCCATTCTACTCTAGGTGTTTACTCAAGAAAAATGAAAAAATATGTCCATACAAATACACTAAAATGTTCATAATGGCTTTAACTACAATATCCCAAACCTGGAAACAACCAAAATTTCTATCAATAGGTGAATGGAAAAACAAATGGAAGTATACCCATATACTGGAATACTATTCAGCAATACAAAGGAACAAACTATTTATACAAGCTATGATGTGGATCTCAAAATAATTTTGCTAAGTGAAAAGAAGCCAGGAAAAAACAAATGCAAAGTAAATGATTCCATAAAGTTGTAGGAGATGCAAACTAACCTATAATGACAAAAAACAGATCACTGTAAAGCAGATCTGCAGAAAGCACATCAGTAAAGATAGAATAAGGAAGGGAGGGATGGAAGGATGGTATTACAAAGTGATAGATGATAATTTCTGAGGTTTGTAGATACTTTTTTATCTTGGTTGTAGTGATGGTTTCAAGAACATATACATATATCAAAACTTACCCAAATCTACACTTTAAATATGTTCATTTATTTTATGTTGATCACATAACAAATAGTTCTCAAAAAGGGATGCAAAAATCCTGAATAAAAAATTAGTCAATTGAATTATCATCGCAGAAAAGTATACATCATGATGAATTGGGTTTATCTCAAGAAGGCAAAGATGGTCCAGCATCTAAAAATTTTGTAAATGTAATATATTTTATTAACAGGTTAAAAGGGAAAAACAATAGTTATCTCAGGAGATGCATAATTTGATAAAATACTCATAAAATAAAATACTCATTTATAATTCATAACCAACCAATTTATTTGGTACAATTGATATAGGAGGGAATTTTCTTAACCTAATAGAGGTATCTATCAAAAACCAACAGCAAATACCACAGTTCAGAGTACAATTTCAAAAGCACTTCCTTTGAAGTCACCTCTTTTAAACATTGTACTGGAGATCCTAGCAGTGTAAAATGATAATAATAAATAAAAGAAAGAAGAGCTACAAAAGAATAGGTAAAATTGTTTATTTTCAGACAATATGATTATTGTACATAAAAATTTAAAAAGCAAGAGACTCTACAAACAGAAATACTAAGGGATTTCACAGGGCAGCTGGATATAAAATCAATATACCAAAACAAAAAACAAAGCAAAACAAAAAATACTTTTCCTATAAACCTGTAATAGCTAATTTGAACGTATAGAAAAAGAGAACAATTACAAAAAAATTCTCCAGAGTATCTAGGAATAAATTTAAAGAAGTAAGGTCTTTATGGAAAAAATGACAACTATTTTCCTGAGAAATTAGAGTTTTACTCTGTGGTATAAAAAACACACTATTTAAACTGTAGATTCAATGAAATTCAAATGGGATATTCTGTTAAATTTGTTAAGACAATCCTAAAGTGTATATCTTAGAATCAATAATAACCAAGAAAGAAGGTAGTATTTTTCCTTTGAGATTATAAAACTTACTATAAATCTATCATAATCAAAACAGGGAGACAATAGCACTGAGAGATATAAATAGACAAATGGAGTAGGACAGAGAACTCAGGCACTGATCTGCACAAGTATGGAAACTTGACACATGACAGGTGCACTGCAAAGAAGTGTGGCAAACATAGACCATTAACTGATGCTGGGACACCTCGTTATTTAGATGCAAAAATGTAGATCTCTACTTTGACTTTACACACAAAAATATATTCTATGTGGATTAAAGACCTACATTTAAAAGGCAAAACACTAAAATTTTCAGAAAAAAATACATAAGAATATCTTTATGACTTTGAGGTCAAGAAATGTTTTAAAATAATATTTTAAAAGCACAAATCATAAAGGGATAGAAATACATCAAAATTTAAAACTTCCGTATACTAAATGTACTTTTTAAGTAAAGTGAAAACAATAAGCCATAGCCTGGGAGAAGATATTTGCACCCTATATAACAAAGGATTAATATCTAGATAGATAGATAGATAGATAGATAGATAGATAGATAGATAGATAGATCTCCAATTAATAAGAAAGGAACACTCAACCTCAAAAAATATGAATACAGGAATTTACAAAAGAGAACAGCTGAAGGTCCATTAAGCACACAAAAAACTGTTCAAACAATTATTAGGGAATAAAAATTAATACAATAGGATATATTTGTATACACTTCATATTTGCAAAGATATAGGGAAAAGAAAAAGGAAAATTACCTGTTGCTGGCAAGAGGGTAAACTATTACAGCCATTTTAGACAAGATTTTTGCAATATCAAAATTGAAGACTTGCCTACTCTATGATCGTCCCATTGTACCTCTAGCTATCTATTAATATCTTCTACAAGTGAGAGAAGCTTGTACCCTGACTTATACAAAAGGAAACAATGTTTATGGCGGTACTATTGGCAAAAGCAAAAAATGAGAAGTATTTTAAATATCCATCAACAGAAGCATGGATAAATATAAAATAAGATATTTTCCTATAATGGAAAATATCTTTAATTACTACAGAGTAATTAAAATGAATGAATTAGAGGTATATAAAAACACAAATAAAACATGACTGATCATAGACACATTGCAGAATGATACATTAAGTTCAAGAACACAAAAAGCAATAAATGACTTGATAAAAACATGTGTGGGAAATTATAAAAACTTTGAAAGAATGATAAACACCAAATTCATAATGATGATTACATCTGGGGAGGGAAGGGAGAGCAATGGGATTGGGGAGGACAAGCAGGGACCTTCAGCTATATCTGTAATGCTTCTTTCAAAAAAAAATCTAGATCTGGGCACAGAAGCTCACATCGGTAGTCCCAGCTATTTGGGAGGCTGAGGCAGGAGGATCACTTGAGCTCAGGAGTTTGAGGCGGCAGTGAGCTTTGATAACACCACTACACTCTAGCCAGGGTGACAGAGCAAGACCCCATCTCAAAAAAAAAAACTAGAGTCAATATGACAAAATGATAAGATTTGATAAATCTGGGCTGTGGAATACAAAGATTTTCTTTGTATCTTCTCTGTATTTGCAAGTATATTTGAAATATTTCATTTTTTGAAGTAAGAGAAGCGTAAGATTATACATGTATTAAGTGGCAAAACTGAGAGTTAGACTTAAATAGTCTAATTATAGAGCTTTATTATAGTGCATGTTGCCCATCTGTAATTGACATATATATAAAAGAATATGTGTGTATATATATATACATATACATATACTACATGTATGTATACTCATTTGTATGTCATATTTAGCTCTTAGCATATTATGTAACACATCAAAACCATACAAAAAATGGCTATTATTAGCATATTAATCTATTTTTATCCTTTGTAATTTTATGTTTATATATGTGACATATATATTGTTTGTAGACCTACATGTTACATATTTTTCTAATACTCAAATTCTTATAAGAATAATGACAATGACAACAAGACAATGGTGAGTTTAGTGCTCAACATGGTTCGTCAGGTCCTATACAACTTCAGAATAAGTTACAGAAATTGTGAAGGATAAACTAAGGACTCATTCATTTATTCAACAGTATTTATTGAGTACCAATCATGTCCCCAAAGCTGAAGATTGACTAATAAACAAGATAACCAAGATGACTGTTCAAATGGAGTATATATTCTAAAGTAACACTGTCTAATAGAAATATAGAGCAAGCTATAAATGTAAATATAACTTTTGTGGTATTAGTAGCCCATTTAAAAGAAAAGTTAAAAGAAAGAGTTAAAAGAAAGAGATTATATACAGTTAGATGACACATGCATGATCTATGTTGCATTTGGATATAAAAGAAATCTTATATAATATTACATAAATTATCAAATCACTTCTGAGCAGCATGGTCAACTCACCTTTGGACCTTGTATTCCAACTCCCACTGGTCCTCTAGGGCCGGTAGGTCCCATTTGACCTACTTCTCCCTAGAGAGGAAAGAGTATTTGAATATAGCAGTAAAAAATAATAATAATATATTCCTATTTTAATATCTTAAGAGCTATCTTACATCAACAAAGATAAAACAATTTCATGTATTTAATTCATATACATATTGCCTGAAATCCCTCTAGATGAATAGATTTTCACCCAATTTGGTATATGGAATATATACATATAATATATAGAGAATATATACATATATTATAAATATGGTCTGACTCAAATGTAGGTCAGACAAAAATTTTAAATTGATTTTAATCAATTTTGAATATGTTGCACATTCAAAATTGATTTTAAGGAACCCCTGTGGAGGGCACCTGGAAAAGGTAGGCAGTTACATTCCAGAACAACTAAAATGGACACATGAGAAGCCAAGTGACTGTAGATCCAGAGCAGCATTATAACCAGAGGAAACAACCTGAGGTTTCAATGGTAACTTCCAAGTCAAAAGTCTCAAGGACAGCAACAGTGTTCTGTTGAGCTGCTGCTCACATAGATGGCTCTGAGTGTTCTTGAAGAAATGGTCTCAGAGAAGTAGTCTATTTATTTAACAATGATTAGTAATTATTGGAAGCAACATTAAGTAAGGATAGCTAGTTAAATAAAAATGCCATGCTTCTCCTCAAGGGGTAAATAATAGTTCCAATTTAGGAGATAATTTGATTCCTAAATTTATAGAGAAATTTATTTGTTTGGTCATTTGTGACACCATCTCTTTAAGGTTTTGGTAACTGGATCTACTATGGGAATGATGGTAAGAATGAAAATTAGCCAACACAAAGAGGTACATAATCACTGGTAGCCTCTACTGATAGTACTGCTTGAGTTGCTGGAATGGAGTCTCATAAGTCAAAGTAACAACAACAGGTGGGCGCAGTGGCTCACGCCTGTAATCCTAGCACTCTGGGAGGCTGAGGCAGGTGGATCGCTCAAAGTCAGGAGTTCGAAACCAGCCTGAGCAAGAGTGAGACCCTGTCTCTACTAAAAACAGAGAAAGAAATTAATTGGCCAACTAAAAATATATAGAAAAAGTTAGCCGGGCATGGTGGTGCGTGCCTGTAGTCCCAGCTACTTGGGAGGCTGAAGCAGAAGGATTGCTTGAGCCCAGGAGTTTGAGGTTGCTGTGAGCTAGGCTGACGCCATGGCATTCGCACTCTAGCCTGGGCAACAGAGTGAGATTCTGTCTCAAAAAAAGAGAAAAAAACAACAACAACAAATGAAGACTGTATAACTAAAAGTTTCTTAAAGCAAAAAGAATACATGTCATATTTCTAAATTGGTATGAATATCAGTAACATTTTGCATTAAGTAGAGATCTCTGATTTTTAAGTTTATACTATCTGTTCTCTTTCAAATGCACTGGCATTGACTAGAAAACGATTATAATGTAAATATATTAAACTCTGCTCTAATTTAGAAAGTTACCTTGGAACCAGGTGAGCCTTGTCCTGGGGGCCCTTGTGGACCAGGTGGACCAACAGGACCTTGGATTCCCTTTAAAATAAAATTTTTAAAAATAGTGAAATTAAGAAAGCATTAATTTCTCAGCAGAGAAATGGAAACTGTAAAAGAAAATATCTAAATGGAAACTTTAATGTTTGAAAAATGAATATCTTTAAATTAGTAAATAATTTATTTTATGGGTTAAATAGTAAAATGGAGAACTGATGAAGGATAGCAACTAGATATACAAATTAATAAACATTACCCAATATGAAGACAGGAAATAAAGGAGATCTGAAAAATAAACTGAAACTCCAGGATCTGTGAGACAATACCAAATGGTCTAATATTCATGTCATTATAGTCCTAGAAAAGAATTCCCAGGAAGGAAGGCATTCGATGCCAACATATTCCCAAATTTGGTAAAAAAACAAATGTTTTTTTAAAAAGCTCAATAAACAATAAAAGGGAAAAAATGTAGAAAAATTATACAAATACCTATTATAACCAAACTACTGAAAACCAAAAATAAAGAACAATCTGGAATAGTAAGAGAAAAACAAAATAGTATATATGGTAAACAAAAAAGAAGACATTTAGATAAGAGTAGTTTCAAATCCTCTAAAGTAAACTTTAGTTCACACTCCACAATAGATTACTCATACTCAAGAAATGTTTGTCATATGGGGTGGCAGAAGTTGCTAGTTGAACTATAATATGCATTCTTCCCTTCTTCCGCAGTAAGAAAAATGTTAATTGGCTCAGATGGCTGCCTAGAATAAAGACCACATTTCCCAGTCCTTGTTGCAGCCAGGTATGGTCATGGGGACTAGATTCTGGCCAATGGGATGTGAATGGCTTGATGTGTGCAACTTCCAGTCCATGCTAAAGGAAGAAGTATGACTTTCCCTTCTCTTTTCCCCGTCCCCAGTGGTTGGAATGAAGATGTGGTGGCCATCCAGGATCGTGGGGATGAGGAAAGCACCTTCAGGATGGCAGACTAGCAAGAATGAAGAAGCCTAAACCCCTGAGGACACTAATGAATAGAGCCACTACATAGCTTGGAGTTTTAAACAAGGGAAATAAAATTACATCTTAACTATGAAATAGTTAACCCATTTCATAGCTCTATCACATGCCGGCAAACCTATATCCTATTTGTACCAATTGCTATGTATCAGAATGTTATTAATAAATAAGTTGAAGGTTTGATCTAACCTCTAAGAAGCAATAGTCAGCAGACATGAAACTGAAGAATGTTCAAACACTTGACTTTCCCTTTCACATTGTGGGTATAAAAAGGGATGTGCACATATGTATGTGTACATGTGTATATGCAGTTATTTATACTTCACTTTAGATCTGAGGTGATCAAGGCTCCAAATATTCATATTTAATGAAAATCTGGAGGCCATTTGAGAGATATTATAAACATGATACTGGAAACAAAAGTTCCTTCATAAGCAGATGAGGGAGAAAAATTTTTTTTATAAGAGAAATGGGAAGATCTAATATAACAGGGATTCAGTTGATAAACATGTCAAATTAAGGATAAGAAGAGCATTGAAAATAAAAGAATTTAGATGATTTTTTTTTTATAGCTGAAGAATAAACAACCTCCATCAAGGACCAGTATTAAAGGCAACAGGAAGCCACGGGTGGGAGGTCCAGAGTTCACAGGCAGATTTGTCTTTGAACCTCATTTTTGTCCTTGTAGTGGTAACCCAGCACCAGGACACCACAAAACCCAGGACGTGGCAGCACCATCCAGGCATTTCCAGAATCAGAACATAACCCCTGCTAAAACCAGCAAATAAGCTATAATACAAAGTTTGAGAACATATCTAGCTCTTAATTATTATCTAAATATTTATTTACAGATTTGTCTTGGCTGCTTCTGCACCTTAATCCTCCTAGTGTATTACACTAGGACCTCTGCCAAGGGCAAGGAAATGGAAAAAGGAGTCATATCCAACTTTGCCGTTTCTTGGGCTAACAAAAAAAAAATGTTACAACAATAATAATAAATTAGCAGATGGTTAGAAATAAACTCAAAGTTATTGTCAACAATGTGAGATTTGAAATTATCCTTCTTTCTATTTTTCCCTTCTCCCACTACCCTACATAAAGGAAGCTCTCTTCATTCTCTAGGCAACAGAATTATTCACATCCGAATCATACATTTTATTCAAACTCACTTGCCACTTTCTAGCTGGGAGGATATTCAGCATAAATCTGGATTTGTGGTCATTTTGATTAAATGAGACTATGTAGGTAAAAACATACGGTAAACATCAGTAGATAGTACTGTTATACTATCTTCACATTATTTAGATTTAACACAATTGCCTAACTTTCTCTAAAGTTACCAGAAGATTCTGGAAGCAGCTTCCTTTCTTCTGCCCAAGAGGGGCCAGGTGTCATTTATAAATCCTATCTGTGATTTGCTTCTGTCCAGAAAGAATGACCCATAAATTAAGTGGTCACCTCTAGTCTTGGGCTTAAGTTTAATACTTGTTTTTAGATTGGTATGTGGCTAAAAGGTGGGAAATACTACTCTACTCCATTGGGAGAGAGTGGAATTTAATCACTCACAAATCTTCAAGGAGAAAAAACACACAAACAGTTAAACAAACTATAGATCCCAAGGGTAACTGAAAATGTAAAATATTACCCCAAAACTCTTAATTGGGTTTTAATATTAAAATTCACAGCATCATGAAACACACAAGTTATTCTTTAATAAATTGTCTTTGGAAGTTCTAAAACATAAAAATCTTCTTATGAAACCATCTTATCCTTCCCTACATTCTCTTCTAGACTTATACTCCATTGCAATTTGACTGTCAAATATACTCATGGATGTTTGCAGGACTGGCCTTCAGTGAACACCAAGTTTGGGCCAGAATGTTCTGTACCAAAAGCAAAGGAAGAAAGCATTCATTACCTGTTCCCCTTGACTCCCAATTCCAGGCATGCCCATTGGTCCCTGGGGCCCCACAGGTCCTAAATCCCCCTGTATAGAAAATAAGCCAGAAATATAACAACAAAAGAAGGTTTTAAATAAAATAAACCTTATTCTTTCATATTTTGCTAATTTGGAATTAGGCTAGAGTAAAATCTATCTTTACATTATAAAAAAATTTCAAGATGGAAAATTATAAAACTTCATTACATTCCTTCAAAGCAGTTGATAGTTTGTTGTAAAACTATCAAAATAGGAAATGACATTTTGCTATTTAGTCTAAATTGGTGAGCATTTGCATCAGCTTGATCACCAACTTGGACTTATCAATCATTTCTCACAACCAAAAATTCCTGAATAGTTATTATAATGACACAAACACTTCCTGTTAAGATCATAACAGAAATATTTTAAGTATAAAATTCACAGGGTACAAGAAAACTGAGATTTGAGAGAAACTGATGAAAACAATGTTAAAATTTTCTAAACACCATTTTCCTCCAAAATTTATTTAAAACGCATTTTGAAAAATTAAAGAATGATCTCAGGTGAAAACAACAAAATTAAAGAGCCCCACCTTCTCCTTCCATGAATTTGAAAAAAAAAAGTAAGAGTTATCAGCAAAAAGAATATCATTCATTCATTCCTTGAGTCTTCATACAAATATTTGTTGAGTACCCAGTATGTACCAGGAACTGTTCCAAACACTGGAAAAACAACAGTGACCAAAACACCTCAAAATCACTGTCCTCAATAGAGCTTACATTTTACTAGGAGAAACCAAAGATAATAAACAAAACAGAGAGATAAAAATTAATCAGGGAAGGAGAGAGGCAGCAACAATTTTGGATAAGATGGCCAGGGATAGCCTCACTGATGAGAAGAATTCAGACAGGTAGAAACCTGGAGGTAAAGCAAACAGCCAGTGCAGGGGTGATGACTGGCATGTTCCAGAACAGCAAGAAGATAGTGCAGGGCAGCCGTGACCATGGCAGTGGGCAGTAGATGATGGAGGCTGAGGACTATGGCAGCAGGGTCCATTAGAAGGGTCAACAGGGCCTTTGAGGCCATTGTAAGGACTTTTCTCTCAATGAGATGAGAATTCACTTAGCCTAGAAGGCAAAGATCTTAGTTTTTAAGGCTCAGTCAGAAGTTGTATTGAGAACAGACTGAAGGGAAATCCACATGAGAGATGATAAGGGTATGCACCAGGGTGTCGGTGGCAGAGAGGGTAGGCAGTACTCAGACCCTCCTGTATTTTGAAGGTAGAACCTACAGGATTTGCTGGATTAAGAGGACTCCAAGATATCTCCAAGGTCTTTGGGAGAATAGACTTGTCACTTACCAAGGAGAAGCCTGAGAGAGAAGCAAGGGTGGAGATGGAAGGGGTGATATTGGGAGCTCAGTTTTAGACACAAGTTTGAGATGCCTAAAACAGACATCTAAGTGGAGATACCAATTAGGTGGCAGAGGTCTGGGCTAGTTGGGAGCCCTCAGTCAGGTATTTAAAACCATGACTGACTGAATTTGCCAAGTAGATAGAAAAAAAGAGAAGGTGCAAGGACAGAGCCCTTTAAGTACCCCATTTGGAGATCAGAGAGATGAAGAAGACATAGCAGTGGAGACTGAGAAGCAGCAGCCAGGGAGACCAAGAGAAGAGAGTGTTTCAGGAAGCTGAGGGATCCATCTGTCAAATGCTACTTGGTAGGTCAAGTAAGTTGACAACTGAGAATAGACCACTGGATTGGGCAACATGCTTAAGACACCTAATGTAAAGGCAATTGTATTTATTTAGACTTACATTGGGGTTATAAAACTTGTTCTTAAGCAATTGGATAGTAAATAATTTTTGGCTTCAGAGCCATAATAACATCTCTTGACAATTGATCAATGCTACTTTGGTAGTGCAAAAGTCGCTACAGACAATGTATAAATGAACACATGTGCCTGTGTTCCAATAACATCTTATTTATAAAAACAGGCAGCCAGGCTCATAGTTTGCCAATGTCTGGGCTAAATACATATTTTTATGAACAAAAACATATTAGATTAAACTTTATACAATATTAAAGTATATAGAACCTGCACTAAGATATGCCCTGGAACATGCTTCTCAGTGTTTCATTCGTATCAACCATTGGTCTAAATAAACATGATGGAAGGAAAACATAATGGAGTCAAGTTTGATTCAGAGATGAATTATTTGCCATCATGCTAAATGCTTTTCATGCTTTATCTCATTTAATCCTCACAACAGCCTCTGAAGGGGGCATCCCTGTTTTCCAGATGAGCTTTAATAACTCACCCCAGCTCACACAGCTGTCAGATGACAGAAGTGAGATTCAAGTCCAGTCTCTGGCTCCAGAACCCAAATCATAACCACTATTCTGCAAATATTCAGTAAATACGTAAGAGAGAGCCCCTTTTGTGCTGCATTATTTACACTTAAATATCTTTCTCATAACTACTTCTTTGTTTTGTATCAATTATATGTATTTAAGAGCCTTTATCATAGGTGAGTTTATCTTATCACTTGAATATCAGACACCAAAGTCTCTGAATCTAGGGTTATATGTAAAATCATAGAAAATGAAGAAAGGAGGAAGGAAAAAGGAAAAATCATATTGCTTCGGTAAGGGAATAGCAGATAAAGGCTGTGCTATGTGATAATGTCCTGATATTTCAAAGTGTTTTCTTCACATGAGCTCCAGATGTAAAAATGTAAGCACCATGTCACAACACCACCTGAAAAAGTTAACTTAGTGAACTTATAAAACAATGGTTCTGTTGTACTCAGTTCTCACTGCTCCAGAGGAACAAAGAACATCTTACATATTTTTTGGAGTATTTTGGAGCTGCAGTTACAACCAGAGCTGAATGATGTGAAACAAGAATTGTATTATATCCAAAATTTATATAACTCACTATTTATCATTATCTCTGCTATTTAAATACAGACAGCCAGAAGAGACAACTACCAGTAAATAAAGAGAGTAAGTCATTCAAGATTGAACCCCAACACTTGAGATAATCATGAATGTCAACTGTTATTCTAATATAATATATGATAATGATATGCTTCAAGGTTGACATATAAATGACTTCCAGCTGATGTGAGGTCTCTGTTTGGGGCACATTTTTTATATCCCCTCCCTCTCTGGCAGCTTCACTTCCACTGCTCTTTAATGCCTTGTCAGTCTCCAGTAGTTTCTATCACTAGCCTGACTCCTATTTATAATCTGGTATAATTTGCAGCTATTTTAAAGACCATAAATATCTAATGAGAAAAAGAAGAGCAACCCCTGACAGCCAGGAGCTGAGCTGACCCTGGCAGTAGGCTGTGGCACTGATCATATACAGTTTTACAGACCATCAGCATCAGATAAGGCCACTTTATGACTGTGATGCAACCAAGAAAAATGCAAGACCACTCCATGATCATGTCTGAGCACAGACAAAAACAAGGACTGTCCAAACCCTGCAAATGGTCAAACATCCTCCTATATTCACTAAAAAATGAGTGACTTCTACTTCTTTATCAATTATGACTCAGCCAGGGGCAAATTTTACAGAATGAGTCATTTTATTTTTATTAATACATTTTTGTGTCTCTTTTATATTGTTATTTCTGAAATGAACATATTTTAAATAACAGAGAAAAAAATAAGTTTCAGGGAAATAATCCTCCCAGATTGAACAACACAATTAGAACATTAGTAAGACATAAGGGCTAAATCGACGGCTGCTATGTTCATGATTTAGTTCTAACTTCCCCCACCTGACTGGCACCATTACTGCATGAGGCTGGTTGGGGAGAGTTTATGGGGATCAAGTATGCCAGTCTGTTATCAACTTTTGACAATGGTGTACTGTGTTTCTGTTTGAAGTGGAATTTGTGAACAGTTGAACAGCTCAACAATATTTTTTAATTCTGTCTGCTTAATAGCTCATCATGTCAAAGAAAACCAAGAGAACACTGAAGGAAGAAAACAGATTTTTAATGAGGATTGGGAATTGCAGTATTATCTTGTTTCTACTAAAGATGATTTGCTTGCTTTGTGATACTGCAATATCAACATTAAAGAAATTTAATGTTCATCAGCATTATAACACTCATAAGGACCACAAATATTTTATATTAGAGGGAGAGGCACAAAGGTTTTATTGCAGAAATTAAAAGATGAAAAGCCAAAGCAAAGACAATTCTTTCAAGCAGCAATAAGACTTGGAAATAATGCTACTGAAGCAACTTATAAAGTAGCTTATATACTTGGGAAAAAGGGAAGCCATTCAGTGATATAGAAATTGTCAAAGAATACATTGTTGAAGTTGTAGGGCGCTTAGACCCCAATAACGTTTCAAAGTACAAATAACTGCTTCTTTCAGGAAGAACCCAACTGATTGGCAGTATGAATTAGCCTTCAGCTTAACAGAATAACTTCATACAATACTTCAAAAGGAAAATATATATTATTCAATTGCTTTGGATAAATCAACTGATACTACTGACTCAGCACAGGTTTTATACTTATTTGGGTCATAACAGATTTTCTATGCTATGAAGAGTTACTTGCTTTGGGCACGCTTGCAAACAGAACATGAGTAATAGATATCTTCAACAACTTTCAACATGAAGTTGGACTGAATTTGGTAAATTTCATGAGTGTATACATACAGATGGAGCACCCTCCATGACAGGAAAACATGAAGGATTTATTGCATAGATTTAAAAAGTATTAACAAATCCAGATGTTTTCATTTCTTTTCATTGTATCTTGCATCAGCAAAATCTCTGCAATAAAGCTAACACTTTAAGTGGCACTTTGCAACAAGTTATGAGTATTGTTAACTATATTCGTGCAAATGTATCATGGTATCATCAGTTTTGTAACATGCTAAAGTTGAACAATGAGGTACTCAGTGTGGATTTGCCATTATCATTCTGAAGTGCATTGGCTATCACAGGGACAGGTGTTGGCCAAGATTTTATATCTGTGAGAACAGATAGCTAAATTTCATGAAGAACAGAATCAGCAATGTAAATTATTGAAAGAATATTTCTATAGGAATGCAGCATTTCTGTGTGATATCATGTGATATCGTGTCAAATCGAAATTACGTGAATATTTCTTTGCAAGGTAAAACTAAGTCTATATATGATATGTGGCAAAAAAAAAATCTAAGCCTTTCAAAAAAAAGACTATCTTTTTTCAAAACATTTCAGTAGGAGATTTCGAATGAACATTTTCCCCACTTAGCAAAGGTCACTGATGAGCAGGATGATATATGTGAATCATTTGAAGAATATGCAGCTGTTATAGACCTATTCATTGAAGAATACAATGAAAATTTCACTGACTTTGAGAATCATGACATCACACTCAGATTAGCATTTCAGCCTCACCTAGTTGATAGCACCAAGGCACCTAAAGAACTACAGATGGAATTCATTGAGCTCTCAGTAGATGACATTTGAAAGTCATTGTTTGATGCTAAAAGAGATCCAACTGAAATATGGAAAAATGCAGTAGAATACCCACACCTTCGACAACATGCTCAAAAAATGCTTTCTTGCTTTTCAACCACTTATTGCTGCAAATCTACATTTTCCTACCTAACCCAAATCAAGATGCCCTTAAGGTTACAGATGACTGATACCCACCTAGAGGATCAACTGAAACTGGGACCTCCATGCTACAACCAAATTTTCAAATGCTTTCCAACAAAAAGCAGATATAACCAAGTCATTCAAAGGTTAGTTAACTTTAAAATTAACAAATAGTTTTCATTTTTTGAAATTATTAAGTACATAGTAGTTAGGTTTTACAAAATAATATAAATTTTTAAGTCTATCTAATTGAAGTTTCTTGAATGCAGCCTTATTTGATTACAGTAAATTAATGAAGGCTTCCAATAGGAAAAGTTTCCCCACCCTGATACAGCCTAACTCTGTTTTTCCCAACTTCTAGATGAGATTCCTTAAAATACTCAAAATGATCCCAACTTCCTGATAGCATCCAAATCCAGAGCCAACCCCTGCTTTCTTGAACACTCCCCAAAAATCATCCAACACAAGCCCAAATTCTATGAAATATCTTGTATTTCATCTTCTTCCCGAGTCACTGTAGGTTCTCCATGGTACCTGGTCTCCCTCTGTGTGGTGAGTCAATAAACCTTTGTTTGACTATAGGTGGATTCCTCTTGGTCCTTGCTGGAGGGCATCAACACTAGTTTTCTTAAATGAGCTCTCTTATTTTAACCCCATTTTAAGGTAATATTTTGGAATGAGAGGCTAAGGATGGATAAGCATTTCTGGAATAGATTCAAGTTAGTATATTTTTAACAACTACTTTCTTTACTAAGAAGAGGTGTCTTTTGATAATGTCTGGCTTCAAAGGTGCTTTGCTGATTGTAGAAGTCACTGGGGATGTCGGAACCAAACTAAGTAAAATATTTCTATAAATGTAAATAATGGGATTTCTCAGATCATGGTTCATCCTCCATAATAATACACCTTTCATATAATAGATTTATAGTCAACTGGATACCTGTGTGGTATAGTTGTCATGTATACAGTTCAAAAATGTACATACATAAAGAATAATGAGAGAAATAATTTTATTGGAATTTTTTCTATTGTACACCCTATATACAGTACCTTGTCCCCTTTGATTGACAGGCCTTGTAATCCTTGTGGGCCAATTGGTCCTTCAGAACCTTTTTCACCCTGAAAGTATATGGGAGGGATATCAGTGACTAACAAAAATCAGGACTTTAAATTTTACATAGTAATTACTATGAATTATACTTCAAACTGATTTTTTAAATCAAGCATGCAAATTCACTGCTCACTGCAAATAGGTAATTCGAACTGACTCTGAGATTTGCAACTTGTAAAAATAATTAGTCATAACACTTTAAGAGGAAGGAGTCTGTCCAAGCAGACCACATATGTAGCATCGCTGATGTTGGAAAAGAGCTCAATTTATAATCTAAACATAAATATTTGAAAATGAGATAGCTAATCAAGTACATAGTACCACTAGCCGGATCAAGCCTCCTTTTCCACATGGCTCAAACTGGATCTATCACATAAGGAAAGTTTGCCTCTCATACTATTAGTATATGGACTAATACTTGCTAGAATTGGATTACTTATTAAATGTTTTGCATCCAAATGTATAAAAATTCATTGAAAATTTAGGTTTAAAAGAATTCATGGGTTGGGCACAGTGGCTCACACCTGTAATCCTAGCACTCTGGGAGGCCAAGATGGGAGCATTGCTCAAGGTCAGGAGTTCAAAACCAGCCTGAGCAAGAGTGAGACCCCATCTCTACTAAAAATAGAAACAAATTAATTGGCCAACTAAAAATATATAGAAAAAAACTAACCGGGCATGGTGGCACATGCCTGTAGACCCAGCTACCTAGGAGGCTGAGGCAGAAGGATCTCTTGAGCCCAGGAGTTTGAGGTTGCTATGAGCTAGGCTGACGCCACGGCACTGTAGCCCGGGCAACAGAGTGAGACTCTGTCTCAAAATAAATAAATAAATAAATAAATAATAAAAGAATTCATGGGTAAATAAATCTTCTTGGATATACTCCCATAGTTACATGACCTCTTTGACTAGGTCTGGTCTTAACGTTAATGAAATTGTAACATTTCACACATTTGCATGAAGAGTGAAGCATGTCATCAATCAGAAATAGCATTCACTTAATAAATTTATTAGAACAAAGAGTAAAATCAAAGAACATTTGCAAATTAGCCACAAGTAGCACATTTAGAAAACATCCATTGCTCTGACCGGTTGGGAGAAGTATTCTGACTAATGGATTCTTCTGACCATTACCACAGAGTATAATCTCATATGCTTAATCCTAAAACAACACCAAACAGGATAAGATCTTTCTTTGATGAGCTGGAGGTCAATGCAGTGCCCTTGGTTTATTATACACAAGAGTATATCATGCATTATACTTTATATAATATATAAAGATATGTTGAACTTTCTCTAAGACATGCCCTGAAATATTCTTCTTAGTGGTTCATATATTCATTTCTTATTTGTTTCTTTATTTTTTTGACAAACAGATTATAAAGAGTAATAATTCTGGCAATTTGAATCTTCCACATTGTTTGGGCTACACATGAAGAGAAATTTATTATATGCCAAAAGATTGTTTAAGAAACTATGTATTATTATATAAAGCTTTCTGTGATTTAGTGCCAAATTGCTAACCTCTGTCTTCTGATAGTGATACTTTGGTTAGTCAAGGTATTAGTAATGTCCTTTTATCCAACACATTATTTCCATTATTATGACAAATTAAAATTTGTTGGTTAACAAGGGTATCTTTTAAAATTCAACCCATAAGTCACTCACAACTTAGTATGAATTTTTTATTTTAATTGCTTTCCCTCTAGTTGAAATTTCGGTTTCTCATAGGTAATTGAACATTGAGCATGGTGGAAGAGGCTAAGAATGAGATTTACTTTTAGAACATGAGGACATACTAAAAAGGTCAGATCTTAGTGACCTGATAGAGTGACTGATGTGGAAGGTCTTAGATACTGAGAAAGCAGCATGTGGTTCCCTGAGAAGTATGTGTGTGCACACATGTGCATGCTTGGGAGAAAGAATTTGGCAATTAATCAAGAAGGACTCCAAAATATTAATCTTTATTTACTATGAGTTTTTCTTGATGCTGTCCAAAGTTTTTGGGGAAAACACTTCCTATGTTGCCTTTGACAAATATGCCACAGGTTGTGGGTAAACAGCCTAGATCAGGGGACAGCAAACTATGGCTTATTGGCCAAATGCAGCCCACTGCCTGTTTTTTGCAAATACAGTTTTGTTGGAACAGCCACCCTCATTCATTTATATGTTGTTTATGGCTGCTTTCAAGCTTCAACAGCAGAGTTAAGTAGTTGCAACAGATACCATATGGCTCACAAAGACCGAAATATTTGCTATCTGGCCCTTTACAGAAAATGTTTGCCAACCCCTAGAGCAGAAGAACTTGAGCTCTAAGAATTATATGTGGAAAGCAGTAAGAAACGTTAAATTCTCAATTTCCAGGTAAAACGTAGGTCTTTCATAACATTTTGTTCTTTCTGTAAAATTTCCTTTTTTATTATATTGATGGTAATACTATTACAGATTGGTTTCTTACCTGTGTTTTACAAAGCTGTGAATGAAGCACTGCCATAGCTAGACTCAGTGACACCTTCTGGGCAAAGATTGCTACTTATCACCATGGCTTTAATGACTACAAACTACTTTAAGAGATTTTTCTAATTTCATATGTAGTAATTACTTGAAACGGAAGTCTGTCATAAGTGCAAATTTCACCATACTTTTACATTAAGGGAAAGTTTACATATTCCTTCATTTAATAAGATAAAGATGATCATAGAAAATACCTGACTTCTGATAATTGCATAGGACACATTTTTTAAATTTGCAATTCATGACCATATAAGACAAAGTACTTTTTTCTAGTACTGAAGATATTGTTACCTTTGGTCCTGGAAATCCTTCTCCGGGTGAGCCCCTCTCTCCTGGTGCTCCCTCGGGCCCACGGGGACCCTGGTTAGGATAGAAGGAAATTAGAAGTGGGAAGAGAGAAAGACAGAACAGTAGAAGAGATGGAAAGAAAAGGGGAAGAAAGAGAATGGTTATATTTCAGTACACATGGATTAAAAAAATGGATGATTGGATCTGTACTGAACATGTAAGACTTTTTTTCTTTATATTCCCTAAATAACACAGTATAACAATAATTTCCACAGGATTTACATTGTATTGGGTGTTATAAAGTAATCTAGAGATGATTTAAAGTATACAGAAGGATGTGCATAGTTATGAGCGAATATGCCATTTTATATAAGGGACTTGAGCATCTATGGATTTTGGTATCCAGGGAGGTCCTGGAACCAATTCCCCACGGATTCTAAGGGATGACTGTTGCTCTATTTAAATCTCATTGAAGTGAGAATTCTTCTATCTAGCCCCATACCAATCAGAAGAATTTTAAATCTGTGAAGAATAATATTCCATAGTATTAAATACACATTCCATTTGACTGGCATAAGATGTTCTATTCAAGTGTTCTCAAATTAAAAGAAAATGGAAATTAAGTGATGCTTCAGAATGAGGATTAAGGAATCAATTCTATGAGGAAAGACTAAAACTCTAGGACTGTCTGGACTGGAGAAGGATGCAGAGTGATTTAATGATTTAATTAAGTATCAGGGGAACCCTGGGAAGAAATCACCACACAGCTGTTGTGAAGTAGTAAATGCTGTTTACATGTGTTTTAATTTCTCTCTTGATAAATTTGGATTAAAATTTGAATTATTTCATGCACTAGTTGAACCCACTGGCAGTTTTATGTGAAAATTGGAATCTTGATAAGATCATTAAGAGGAAACATGGTTTTTCAATCTCAATGATTAAAATTAAGAAGCGCATATGACTATTACTCAGAAAGGCACTGGGCAAGGAGGGGACTTCTCACATAAGTTTAGAAAAACAACACAGCCTCAGGCTTTGAAATGGACTGGCAGAAACGTACTAATTGAAAAATTAAAGACAATAATAGTGAGGTTTTCATTTAAACCAGAAATTGAAAAGGTGACAGTTTTTCCCTCTTTTTCTTCTTGACCATAAAGCAAAAAAGCAGAACAGGGACTTACAATGAGAATCTTAGAAGAACAAACTGGAGCTTTTCCTTGAATGGATCTAAACAGATAATTAGGATTCACTTGCCAGGGAAGTAAACCTATGATGGAACAAAGTCTACTGAGTCTCCCACAAGCCCCTAAGCCAGCACGCTGCAGACACTCTGAATCATCTTTGGGCTTGATATGCAGTAATCCAGGGTGACTTAAGAGATGCTTTTTGCCCGAGCCTTTTAGCAGAACTATAACGCAGCATTATACCCATCAGTGACTGATCATAGTTATAGATTCATCAGAAAGATAGCTAATGTGTTTAATTTTTTTCCTTTCCCTAATTTTGTATATTTTAAGAGACCATCTTCTTTAGTATTTATGCATAATTGATTTAATAAAGACTTTAATTAAAAGCAAACGCTAACATCTATTTCAATTTAAATTGCAGTGCTTATTAGACAGCTAGTTTTTAACATTCCAAGACCTTAATCAAAGCACTAATATCCATGACAGCCTACTCTAATGGCATAGCAATTAGCCAGGGAAATAATAAATATGAGCATGAAAGCTAGATTGCAAACTAAACCAAAAACTGCCAAGCTCACATCACATACTGTAACAGAGAAAATATTGACAAATTACTCTTCTTCCCCAGTGATATGACAAATGAAAAAACACAATTTACATTAAATATAAGGAAGTCTTTTTCCAGTACATTCATTTTTTTTATTCATTCAACAAATATTTACCAAATGGCTAGTAGGTGGAAGGCACTGTGCTAGGTTGTAGGAACAGCAGACAGAACTGCTGCCTGTCTCATGGAGTTTACAGCATTACATGAAAGTAAAAAGTAGACTTTGGTGTCATTTGGACTGAGGTTCAAATACCAGCTATGCTACATTTCCCTGGCTAATTGCTCTTTAAACAGGGGGCCAATTCACTGTCCCTCAGACGGTTGGAGCATGCGCACTGTGGGCCCGGAAGGAGTCCGCTGCTAAGCAGGACAGGCAGCTGCGGCAAAAACACCCAGTGGGCCAGATAAATGTCCTCGGCGGGCGGCATGTGTCCCAAGGGCGGTAGTTTGAGGACACCTGATGTGGAGAGAGGTAAGCTGCACAGAATAAACACTTAATATTCCTTCCTCTGTGTTTCTAGACTACCCGAGCTACGGTGAAAGTGAAAATATTGGAGGCTTTAAGGAGCCATGTGCTTACAGCTGCTGAGACCAGAGTTAATGCTCATGGACAATCACTTAGGGGAATTTAAACAACAGTGATCCAAGGTTTAATTACTCTAAATGGTCAGAGTAACATTCCACACCATCAGTATCTTCTCAGGTTTTCCAATTAAACAGTCAGGATGGGAGATGATTATTAACCAGAGAAGAGAAATAGCAAACCCATTAACTTGGGTTAATGAGCTATACTGTGAATTTATTAAGACAGTATAAAAGGATCACTTTTAAAAAACATAAATGCTTCTATTAAAAAAAAACTCAGTGTCCTTTCAAAGTCCACGAGAACCAATTGCAACTATGGCATATTTGGCTTCTAATGAACACTTCTAATAAAAAAATAGTGGAGGGACCTAATTATCAGTTAACATGGTCTGATTAGTGAAATGCTTTCTTTAACACATTGAGATAAAATATGATTGTCCATTATATTAATTTTGTTATTTTCCTTAATAATCTCAATAATGTTAATAATCAAGAAAAGTGGTTCCAAAATACATGGCAAGTATTAAAGATAAATATGCTAGATAATAGCAAAAATTGTCCATTATCTTCAAACAGTGCCATCTACTTTATTTTTTAACCTCCAAGCAATTAGAGTTCTCCTTTAGGGGTTATTTTTTATTCTCATTGCTCTGAATAACCTTGCACAATAAACAAACGGATCACCCTGAGAGTCTTAACCAATTTATTTTTCATGAATCAATTACATCTACCAGATCAGCACAAAACTAGGGGTAATCACATAAAGATGATAACTGACCATTCAAAGTTAAGTCTTGGAACTAGAATATTAATTCCATCTATCTGTAGATTTATATTAGTGTGGGAGTGAAAACAGAGTAGTACTAAACCTGAAAGCACTTGCAAAGAAACAAAAGTAGAGACTTTAAGCAGAACCTTTGTCAGTCCTAAGGTAAGTCTTTATGGTACTTCTAAATAATTCAAAAATTCACATTGTTGATTTTTTACAATGAATTTTGGTGCAACATTTTAATATATTATTTAGGATCTTTCCCACCTTTGTTATGATTTTAGATTCCAACTAGATCCACTTAAATCACAAAACTTCATAGCATAACTCTGTGGCTTGGAAAACAACAAACAAATAAGAATTTTATGTTCTGGCAATATTGTTAAAACTTTCTAGCTATAGTTAAAAAGACAAGTCATATTTTTTTCTTTAAAATAAAATTTTTTTTGAGACATGGTCTCGCTCTGTTACCTAAGCTATGTACAGTGGCACTATCATAGCTAACTGCAACCTCAAACTCCTGGGCTCAAGTGATCCTCCTGCCTCAGCCTCCTGAGTGACTGGGACTGCAGGTGCACACCAGCATGCCAAGGTAATTTTTGTTTTTGTTTTTGTTTTTTGGAAGACAGGGTCTTGCTATGTAGCTCAGGCTGGTCTCAAACTCCTGGCCTCCATCAATTCTGCTCCCAGCACTGCCTCAGCTTTCAGAGTGCTAGGATTACAGATGTGAGCCACTGTGTCCATCCTAAAATGACTTTTAAAGGCATAGCAGAGTCCAAAGAAAATAACAGAAATCACAGGGTTTAAAAAAAGAGAGTTGAAAACGTGAGTGGCACGCAGCTAAGCTGGTACTGTAGTTGACCTGTACAGAGAGGTCTGTTTCTGTCGTGGGAATAAGTCCAGTAAATCTAGAGGAGGAAAGACTTTGGCTCGCCCAATGGAAAATGAGGAGAAAAGTAGAACCGAAATTCTGACATAAATGTAGGAACTTCAAAGTTATACAGATGGTCCCAGACTTGTGATGGGATGGCTTTACTTACAATTTTTAGACTTTACAATGGATTTATCAGGATATAACCTCATGGTAAGTTAAGGAGCTCCTTATGACTTACAATGGGGCTACATTTATGTTGGATGTGTATCACTTTTGCACCATTGTAAATTTGAAAAATCATAAATCAAACCATTGTAAGTCAGGGATCATCTTCTGTGTTGCCACCATTAAATGCATTTTCAACTTATTATATTTTTTATGTGTGATGGGTTTATCAGACCAAAAATGTTTAATGCTAACATACTTTCACTGAAAACAACTTCTAGAAGATGTTTTTCTTGAATAAAGAAAGAAGCCAAAAAGAATAGAGAAATTTGAGAAGCTATGGCGAGCCAACAAATTGGTAAACATATGGGTAAAACTAAGTAAATATTGACTGAAAAAACTAAAATGACAATAATAAATAATTTTAGTGGGATGAAAATAAGGTACAACTAAGTTAACAGAGAATAATACTCTGAAAGTAGTGGAGATGATTGTAGTAAAAGCCTCCTACAGTCAGTGTATTTTTCAGGAGTGGGTAGAAATGTTGATGACATTTTAGCCACAGGGATTTTGTCCTTTTTAGCCTCGTAATAGAGTCTTTCCACAGCAAACCTTTGATGAAGTCCAATTATTTTTTTCTTTTGGATTATGTTTTTGGTGACAGATCTAAGAAATCTTCATCAAGCCCTAGATTCCAAAGGTTTTCTCTTATGTTTTATTCCAAAAGTTTTATAGTTTTTACATCTTACATTTGAATCTATAATCCATTTTGAGTAAATTTTTGTATAAGGTGTGATACTCAGGTTGAGGTTCATTTTTCGTGTATCCAATTGCTCCAGCATTATTTGTTGAAAAGGCTATGCTTCCTTCATTGGATTCCTTTTGCACCTTTCTCAAAAATCAGTTGTCTATACTTGTGTGGATCTGTGTCTTGGTTCTCTATTCTGTTCCATTGATCATGATTCTATAATCTGCCAATGCCATACAGTTTTGATTACTGTAGCTATATAATAAGTCTTAAGCCCAGGCAGTGTGATTTCTCCAAGTTTATTATTCTTTCTCAAAATTGTTTTATCTATTCTAGATTTTATGCCTTTATCCATATAATTTTGTTTTTTTGTTTCTTTTAGAGACAGGTTCTTGCTCTGTCACCCAGGCTGGAGCGCAGTTCCTCGATCATAGCTAACTGTATACTTGAACTCCTGGGCTCAAGCAATCCTCCTGCCTCAACCTCACAAGTAGCTGGGACTACAGGTTCGCGCCACCAGTCAATTTTTTTTTTTTTTTTTTTTTTAGAGAGAAAAGGTCTCACTATGTTGCTCAGGCTGATCTCAAACTCTTGAACTCAAGCAATCCTCCCAGCTGGGCCTCCCAAAGTGCTGGGATTATAGACATGACCCACTGCACCCAGCTCACATAAATTTAAAAATAATCCTGTCCTTTTCTATAAAAAAAGATCTTGCTGGAATATTGAAAAGACTTGCATTAAAACTTTGTATCAATTTAGGGAGAATTGACATCTTTATGATGTTGAGTCTTCCAATCCATGAATATGTCTTTCAATATATTAAAAATTCTTTGACTTCTTTCATCAGTATTTTGTAGTTTAATACAAGTTCTATACATTTCTTATTAGATTTATATCCAAGTATTTTTCTTTTTTAGTAATTATAAATGATACCATGTTTTCCTGAAAGTAAGAGAGGGTCTTATATTTATTTCTCCTCAAGAAGACACCCTAGAGCTTATTTTCAGGGGATATGTTATTTTTTTTAAGTATGGTACAACAATCTACATTTATTCAAATATAGTTAAGTCATCTTCTGGAACATCATCATAACTCTCCAAACCCTGAATTCCATCCTGAATTTCTTGTGACTCTATTTCCCTTGGAACCATTGGCCCCAATCTTTCATGTTGAGCAACAGAGCTCTCATGGGGCAGCTGAGAAGGGCTGGTTGTCTTCTTTACCGCTCAGCGACGAAATGCATGGGTTGTGCAGATATGCTGAATAGCCACGCCTATCACTAGGTTTTATTTTTGGGGGTGGGCTTACATTGCACAAATGCTTAGAAATCCTGCTAGGGCTTATTTTATGAGTAGGTCTTATTTTCAGGGAAACACAGTATTATGCTTTTAATTTTAGTTTCTATGTGCTCATTGCTAGTATATAGAAATAAAAATGATTTTGTAATGTTTATCTTATATCCTGTGACCTTGCTAATTCACTTATTAATTCTAGGAGGGTTTTTTTATGGATTCCTTGGGATTTTCTTTGAAGACCATCATGTCATATGCAAATAGGAACAGTTTTATTTCTTGATTTTTATCGTAATGCCTTGTATTTCCTTTTCTTGCCTTATCGCGCTGGCTAGGACTTCCAGTACTATTAATACATTGAATAAGATTAGTTAAAGCAGATGTTCTTGTCTTATTCCTGATCTTAGAGGGAAGCACTCAATCTTTCACCATTAAGTATGATGTTAGTGGTAGATTTTTTGTAGAGGTTAAGAAATTTCCCCTCTATTTCTAGTTTTCTAAGAGTTTTAATCAGGGTTTTATTAGGGTTAATGAGAATTTTGAGTTTCGTCAAATAGTCTTCTGTGTCTTTTGATATAATCATGTGATCTTTCTTCTTTAGCTTACTAATATGCTATATTCCCTTGATTGATTTTTCAATTGTTAAACAAGCTTTGTATCCATGGAATAAACCCTACTTGATCATGCTATATAATTATTTTTATATATTGCTGAATTCTATTTGCCAATATATTTTTAAGGATTTTATGTCTATATTCATAAGGGATATTGGTCTGTATTTTTATTTTTATGTATTGTTACTGTTTTGCTTTGGTATCAGGGGAAAACTGGCCTCATAAAATAAGTTGGTGTTACTTTCTCTTCTATTTTCTGAAAGAGATTATGGAGACTTTACTGTATCTATAACATTTACTCTTACTCTTACTCTTTATCTGTAACATCATAAACCTAGGGAGAATTCAATCTTTTAATTTTATAGAAGTTAAAATTTGTGATTATGCTGAATATCTGCAAGTTCTTTGACATTTTTCATAGGGAGGTGAAGTCTTTTTCTACTCCACTCAAATCTAAGAAGATTCTATAATTATTTTAGCCAACTGTATTACAGAAATGTTGCTGTATAATTACCGAGTCGAGCCTTACATGATGAATGGTTTCTGTCTGTTGAAACACTCCTGCTTGGATTCAAGCTGCCAAGTTGTGAGGAAGCCCAAGCAGCCACCCATGAGAAGGAGAAATGAGATTTTTAGGCAACAACCCCAGATAAACTCCCAGACAACAGCCAGCACCAAACTGCCAGCCATATGAGTAAGGCCACTATTAACATTCCAGACATTCTAGCATTCAACTAACTTCACATTATATAGAACTTCCCAGTAAACCCATGGAGTCATGAGAACTAACAGATTATTGTTTTAAGATGCTAAGTGTTGACGTAGTTTGTTATGGAGCAATACATAACAAAAAAAGAAGTTAGTGGTTTACCTTTTTCTCCCATCACCCTAAGTAAGCCTTTTGCAGCAGTTTACTTTGAATGATACCATCTAGTTAGTGAAAACTGAGTCTCTAGATCACTGGTCTCTAGATATTAGTCTAGTATATTTTTTCCTTCATATATGCTCTGTGTTTTGAATTAGTGAATACACACATTAGTGAAGAGCCTAACCTTCAAACAACATGCTGCCACTTCACTCACAGAGGACAGGAAGGAAGCACACACTTCTGTTAGTACACGTGAGGAACTACGAAACATAAAGCCAAATTGGGAAACCAACTGTCCACAAGTGGTCGTTTTTGTTTGTACCTTAGTGAGTCAGCTACTGTTTTTTCCTAAGGAGAAAATGATTATTTGAAAAGTTAAGAAGCTTCTTATACCAGAATAGTCATGTTTTATTCACTTCCCCTCCAGATGTCTTTTGACAGAAACTTCTTTCCCTTCCAACAATAGCAAACTTACAAAGCTACATAAGGCAGAAGCTGTGAATACCACAGGTATTATCTGTCTGCCACTATCAATCAGAGCATACTCATGGGTTAGATAATGAGCAACATCCTTATTCTCAGTGATTTTTCTCATGGTTACAGGAAAGTCAACTATGAAGTATAAACGTTAGGCCTGAATCCAGGTTTCTTATCTTCTAAGAAATTTTGACACATGAGAACTCTTTTCTTCTTGTACAAACTGATTAATCTTGTAAGAGATGACAGCCAGAGAGAGCCAGTTGTAAACCTCATATATATAATACATGTATACATATGTACATATATTAATATATGTAGTCCTATTTCAAGTGTTGTGAAAAATAACATTTAGATTTGGTCCTTGCATGTTTATTGTCATCTGTTGTTCATAAAGATACAAGGTAGATTAATTTGATCATTTATTTTAACCAGAAGGAACAAATAAGAACTATATTCATCCTTTTTATTCCATTTAGAATTTTTGTTACTTACCGGCTGTCCGGGCTCACCAACTCCAATAGGTCCTGGAGCACCTAGTCTTCCTTCTTGGCCTCTTTCTCCCTAAGAGAAAAAAATAATAGAATGAAAGTTTGAGTTTTCAAATAATGAATAGCACAAACATAACACAAAATACTCTGGAGATTTCAAAAGGAGAAATAGCACAATTAATCAAACTTTTCATATTCATAAAGATTTTAAAAATTCTAGAGGAGGAGAAATGGCTTGAATTTAGGTACATTTAAATGAACAAATTACCCTAAAAATGTTCACTATCTTTTCTAGTCTAAATGCAATACAGCACTCTCAGCTTTTACATACTGTTGTGTAGGAATTGGCAAGACAGCAATTTATTTTGCTAATTGAGATGACCAAGCCAACAGTGTGTATATGGTGTCCTTTTCCCCTTTGCCACCATCCTGGAATGTCGCCCCCTCCTTGTCTACACTGTGTCCCATTTCACCTCCTCTAAGCTCTGTTTCATACTTGATCTCCTTCAGAACCCTTCTGCAATAACTCTGCCTATATAAACTCCACCTTCCCTGTCGTCTCAATGTGCTTATTTTTTAAATGCTATACATGGCGACACTTGATTACATTTAAAGTACACTGTTTTGTATTGCTCTCTATTTCAGTCCTGCATCAAAGCCTTATTGTCTCAGGCACACAGAAAAGCCATTCAAGATAAGCACGTATGCTCTGTTACATCCTGCATGATGCAGAGCACCCCAGGATGGATGTTCTCTCTGCTTCTAGTTCTCTACAAACCTCTGTCAATATTTACTTTTTATCTAATGTGAGTGGTGGTAGTTGATATGATAAGGTGTTTCACTTCCAAATAACATATTTGCATGTGAATGTTTAAAGTCCATAAAAATTTAACAGAATTACATAGTACTTTGGTGAGAGGGTGGGTATTTGGAGACAAGCAAATCTTTCATTGCAACCAAATCAAAAAATTTATTGATTATTCTTGTGGTAACTCCCACTGATGAGGGCATTACAGTGTCCAAGCACACAATATAAGTAGCTTCTGCAGGAAGTCTACTTTTATCTATTAGGGTTAGGCTGAAGAGAGTTCAAATCACAGCTACTCCAACCCCTACAATAAATTCAATAGTTATCAATGTGCAAAGAGACAAGCATCTTTACCTTAATGCCTTGCTGTCCAATCCCAGGAGCTCCTGGAGGACCATAAGGACCAGGAGGACCTGGCTCACCCTAGAGGAAAAAACATTGATGTTAGGTCAACTCCATAGTGCTTATTGAGCAGCTCTTAGATTGAATAGTGTTGCAACAGGGGCTTTGAGGGCAAAAACAAAACAAAAGCAGTCCCTGCCCTCAATTGTTTACAATCCATTTGTAAAGACAACACGACCCAGGGCAAATTATCCACTAGGCACAGTTATGACAAAATCTAGAGCCACAATACTTTTAAGAACAAAAATGTTTCCATTTTAATTTTGTAATTATATTTTTTAAATAAACATAATAATGATAATATATGATAATATAATAATGATAATATAACAATGAATCCAGCCTGGACTATATTTGCCTTTATGTCACCTCATAAAATTTAATTTTTAATATTTTTTATAGAAGAAGGGGTCCACAAAGGCAAAAGTTTTCAGGATCCATAAAAGTCATAGTGCAGCCCTCACTCACTCATTCACAAATCTTTATTAAGTGCTCTGGCAGACACATTCTGTTTCCCACCCAATGGCAATCCTCTCCCCTCTCTGCTTCCCTGCTGACAGAACTCTGCTCCCTGCAGGTCAGTGGCAGCTGCTCTTTGCTGTCAGGGATGTGGGATGAATGATAGATAATTGGTCTAATGCAAGTTTAGCACCTCTTTTCCCTTCTTCACTGATTGGTCCAGGTTGGTCATGTGGCTCAATTCTGACCAATGAAATGTGAGGGAACTTACTGGCTACAAAGAAGAAACTTTTTACGTCTGCTTCATCTTTCCTACATGCAGATGTGATAATTATCTTAGGAGTCAGCAGTCGCTAGGACAAAAACTAATAGTTGAGGACAACACAGAAAAAATTGAAAAGATCTTGGCTCCTGTATAACCTCACTGAGCTGCTGATCCAGTCCTGGACTATCTATCTTCAAACATTTTGTTTACTCAATAGCAAGAGTTCTTGTGATTTAAACCACTATTAGTCAAGGTTTCTGTTGCTAGAAGCCAGAACATTTTTAATTAATACAGCCTACTGTATGGCAGGCCCATAACAGAATTAAGGCTTTTGGGAACTGGATGAAACCATTGCACTCAAGCCCCTACATTTCACAGGTGAGGAACCTGAGTCCCAGAGAGGTTACCTGGCCTGCCCAAACTCACACCTCAATATCACTCACACAGATATAGCTCTGCAGTTCTCTAGGGAATCTGGCCCCGTGGCATGTTGCTAGGGGAAAGGAGAGTGGCTATTGATTCTAGGTGATTTTTCTATAATGCTAATTTTTTTCTGTTCATCAAAATAAGGTATCTTCATTATAGAAAGGTTTTCATATATTAAATAGCATACATACAAAGAAAATTTTTAATTACCCATCCAAGACTACTATTAAGTTTGGTGTGTTACCTTCCAGTGTTTTTATATTCACACATGTACCTTTAATTTATGCTAAGGAGTTTTTCTGAATACTCATGTTTGAGTTAATGAATACTTGCTATTTAAAACTTCATTCAAATTGAAGATTTCCCTCTGCATGCTTGCACTAACCAACAGTAAATTAAGACAAGCCTTCTCTCAGATTAAAGGAAATGAATGAATTCTCACTCATATTAAAAGTCTCAAGTTGCTCCAGAGGCTTATGATTTTGGAGGGGACATGTAGAAACCAGAGCAATGTTCTGTTGATGTGATAGAGGCATTGCCTTAAGGAAGTCTGTTGACTTTGACCAATTGCAATGGAGAAAGAAAAGAAGGGTCAGAGTCAAACCAGCTCCCCAAAAGATATGCCCAGGCTCATGATGAATTAAAACAAAGGAAACCTGTTTCAAAATCAGTTGTCAGAGTTTATGACTCTATGACATTTAAGTGGATTGAATTCAAAAGTACCTACCATTCATCCTATTGAGTACAAGTCAATCTGGCACATAAATAAACTTGAATTTTTTCTTTTAAAATTCTAGGGTTGTACTTATTTTTCTACATAGATTGAATTTTCTGGAGCAGCCAGGTGACTGCCATTCGTATTTTACATGTTCTTGGTTGTGGAATTTCTCTCTCTTTATAACATTAGACATAAAAGTTCTCACTAAATTTGAAGTTGTTTTCTCAATCTTAAAGCTTAATTAACTGCTAGAGATTATTTAGCTTCCTAGAGATTCCAAATTTACACTTCAAAAAGCCTTTTTCTTACAACTTCTTGGGCTCTCAAGTTATAATCTCCTTGTCAGTTATACAAGTCACACATGGGTGACCGTTTCTATCACTCAGCAAATGACACTAAGTATTTGCTCTGTGGAGGCCCATGAAGTAAATAGGGTGAAGTTTAAGATATAGCTCTAAACTTAAGGGACTAGTGTAAGAGATAAAAGAGATAAAACACACCATTAAAAAATAATAATAGTATAAGGCCTTGAGAGTTTACTTATCCTATTCATTTTCTGTCCGTTTTTTTATGTAACTTTGGTTCTGTAATGTGTCACAAGACATTTAAATTATACATTTGGTAGAGAATATGAGAGTTGGTTGGTTTGTTTGTTTTTTGAGTAGTGAAAGCTCAACCCTAAGTAGTATTTGTCTGATATTTGATCAGAAACAAACCAAGGCCAGGCATGGTGGCTCATGTCTATAATCCCAGCACTTTGGAAGGCAGAGCCAGGAGGATCCCTTGAGCCTAGGAGTATTTTTTAAGTTGCAGTGAGCTATGATCATGACTGTGTCACTGCACTCCAGCCTGGGTGACAAAGCAAGACCCTGTCTTGAAGGAAAGGAAGGAAAGGAGGGAGGGAAAGAGGGTGTTAGGGAAGAAGGGAGGAGAAAAGAAAAGAAAGAAAAGAAAAGAAAAGAAAAGAAAAGAAAAGAAAAGAAAAGAAAAGAAAAAAGAGAAGAAACAAACCAGGAGCACAGGTTAGTAACAAGGCATTGGTTTGGATGTTACCCTGAAATGTGTGAACCAGGAGAATCAGGAGTGACTATCTCACCCTTGGGCCCCTGAGCTCCCTTTAGCCTTGGCCAAGTACCAATAGCAACTGAGAAATTTCTCCATATTACTTTTTCAAGGAAATTACAGGAATCTGAAGATTGCAGGGGGATTGCTTTTCTTTACCTGAACATAGCCCTTTACAACATATGTTCATATTCTGCTTGTTTAAATTTGTTTCTCAGGAGCCTGGCATCTCAACATAGGGTCCACAGACCAGTATTGGCCTACAGCTCCTGTTTATCCCCTGTACATTTCCCCTTTCCCTTTCCTACAAAGATTCCTGAGGTGTAAAGAAAGTGGTAGTGATCCTGATTGTAAAATGGGACATCTGGGTAAGACAGAACAGGGAGAGAAGAGCCAACGCCCTAGTAAGAATGATTTGCTGGAAATTTGGCAAGACAATATAGCTCTGGTAAGACTCAGTTTTGATTCCTTTCCTATTAATATTTCTGACCCAACCCTAACCAACACACATACACACACACACACACACACACACACACATATACATACAGAGATTGCATGCCCTTGGTACTATTAATTATTTCTCTGCTTTACTTTTGTTAGCCATCAGAGCCATTTACCAACAGGTGAGTAAAACAAACAGGACTGGGTTAAAATGGATAGCCCAGAAGACGTCTGTTTCTCATGACTTCCATGTGAGTGTCAGCAAGGAGGTTGGGTGGACCACTTTCGTCTTCCTTGGAAATCAAGAACACTCATGCTATGGGCCTCAAGAGCAATGAAAGCCAATGTTTAATAAAACCTATTGTTTATAAGCACTGCCCTGACACTTTATATATATTATCTCATTTAAACTAACAATCCTAGGAAATAGGGTTTTTCCCCCCTTTTATGCTGTGGGAATATAATCTCCATTTTTAATCCAATTTTCAGCATGCATAGAATCACAAGGGAAAAAACATGGCTTTGGAGTCATTCCGTGTAGTGGAATCCTGGCTCTATTGTTTACTAACATCTTGAGCTTTTGCAAGATCCCCATATGCAAAGTGAGGATAATTATATCTGCCCTGCAACGTTGTTGAGAGGATTCAAGATATTGTCTGTAAAACATCTAAGTCATAACCAGTCACACAGTAGCTGTTTAATATGTATAGATTCAATTGTTATTCACCAGACCTTGATTGAGCACCAACTAGGTGATACTAGGTGAATAACAATTTATGCTCTAATTGAGTACCAGGGTACATAATTAGACAAATAAATCAGATTGCACCTGCACTTTGTAGAAGTTTACAATCTGGCTAGAGAGACAAATGAATGTGAAATAAAATACAAGCATGTGAATTAGCTATAATGAAGTTATTAAGAGAGTACATAAGACTTTGAGGCAGAAATGTTTAATTCTGCCTTAAGGAATTGGGAAAGTTTCACACAACAGAGGAGATAATTAATCTGAACAAAGAAATAGGAATCATAGCTAATCTTATGGGAAAGAAAGGGGACAAAAGTTCAGGGAGAGGAAAGAGTATGAGGCATAAAATGATGTGAAATGTCCTAGGGATAGTGAGCAGCCCTGTGGGCCCAAGGAGCCAGAAATGAGGTGACAACAGGGTCACTGTCTGGGGCAGTACCATCCAATGGAAATGTACAGAGAGCCACATTATGTGTTTAAATTTTCTAGTGGCCACATTCTTTCTATTTTTTAATACTAAGCCTTTGAAATCTGATGTGTATCTTACACTTACAGCACATCTCGACCTAGACTAGCCACAGTTCAAGTGCTCAGTAGCCACATGCAGCCGCTACACTGGACAGCGCAGGTTTAGAGTGGCAGCTCAGGTCAGAACCATGACAGTACCAACATTTAAGTGGGGTGGCAATGGAAGAATATAACGACGTCTTGTACAGACTTGGGGAAAAAGAGAATTTCAAAAAGGTCTCATCATTTCCAAAGACAAATTCATAATCTTTCAGTCTTAGGCCTAGGCTTCTTCCAGTGTTCTCTATCTCAGGGAAGAGCACCAAAATCCCTCATGTACCACACCAGAACCTAGAGGTCATTCTTGACACTTCTGACTCCCTCTTCCACCA